TGGCAGAAAAGCCTTCATTACATTGGAATGACAATGATTTTTTAGACATGACACCAAGAGCACAGGCAACAAAATCAAGAATAGACAAATGGGACTACATTAAACTTAAAAACTCTGCACAGCAAAGGAAACAATCAACAGAGCAAAAACCTATGGAATGGCAGAAGATATCTGCAAATTACGTATCTGATAAGGAGTTAATATCCAGAATATATTAAAAAAACTCCTATAACTCAACAATAAAACCCCAAATAACTTGATTAAAAAATGGGTAAAGGACCTGAACAGACATTTCTCCAAAGGCATACAAATGGCCAACAAGCATGTTAAAAAATGCTTAATATCACTATTCATCAGAAAAATGAAAATCAAAACCACAATTAGATATCACCACATACCCACTAGGATAGCCACTAAAAAAAAAAGCAGAAAAATAAGTGTTGGTGAGTATGCTGAAAAACTGAAACCCTTGTGCACTATTGGTAGGAAAACAAATTAGTGCATTTGCTAGAGAAAACAGTATGGAGGTTCCTCAAAAAGTTACAAATAGATCAAGCAATCCCATTTTGAGTATATAGCCAAAAGAATTGACAACAGGATCTTGAAGAGATATTTCTACTCCCACGGTCACTGTAGCATTATTTACAATAGCAACCCAAACATTCACTGACAGATGAATACATAAAGAAAATATGGGGCCAGGTGCGGTGACTCACGTCTGTAGTCCCAGTGCTTTGGGAAGCCGAGGTGGAAAGCTTGTTGAGGCCAGGAGTTCGAGACCAGCCTGTGCAACCAGCCTGTGCAACCATGGCAAGACTACATCTCTACCAAAAAAAAAATTAAAAGAATAAAAAATGTAAAAAAGAAAGAAAATACATACAATGGAATACTATTCAGCCTTAATTTTTAAAAAAAGGAAATTCTGTCATATGCTGCAACATGGCTGAATCTTGGGGACATTATGTTAAGTGAAACTAAGCCAGCCTCAAAGAGACAATTACTGCTTGATTCCACTTATGTGGCATCTGAAGAAGTAAAACTCTCAGATGCAGAAAACAGAAAGTTGGTTGCCAGGGACAGCAGGGAGGTGGAAAGGAGGAGCTGTTGTTCGCTGGGCACGGAATTACAGTTTTGCAATATGAAAACATTTTAGAGATCAGTTGTGCCATAATGTACGGATAGTTAATACCGCATTGTACATTTAAAAATGGTTAAAATGGTAAATATTGTTACATTTTATGCCATAATAATAAAAAAGTATGATAATATTGGAAGAAACAGAAGTTGTTAAATAAATGTTGTTCACATTTCAAAAAAGAAACTTCAGCATCTCACCAGCGCCAAAGACTAAGTTGCCAGCGAGCCGGGCAGTTCTCACTGTCCCTGGCACTTTTTTCACCTGTTCCATGCAGAGCCCTGATGGCTTCTTTCTTCAGGACTCAGCAGCCTGGGGTGGGAGGTGTCTGCCAGGGGACACTCCCTGCCATGGCCTTGGGCCCCTCAGATCTCACAGCCAAGGGACTGAGCCCCAAACGTGAATGGAAAAGAAATCCCCAGGAGGCTGGGACAGTCATCTGTGACCACCTCTCTCCCATCCCCCTCCCCCTGGCATCCACTCTGTCCTCACAAGACCTTAGTATCTCAGTGACAGCACCAAGGAAATGCTGAGCCAGGGGGAAAAATGTTAGAAACTCAAGATTTCAGCCGAAGTGGCAAACAAGTTCCTAAGAATGCTGAGAACCCAAAGCTGCCGGGGGAGGGGGAGCCTTGGATGGAGGTCAGGTGTCTGCTTCTCACCCAGCAAAGCAAAACAACGTCCTCAGCACTGTCAGGACGAACACGTGCAGGCACACTCAGTATGAGATAAAGTAAACGTGGGAAGACAAGCAGCCCATCTCAACCCAGCTGGGTCCAGGAGGCCAGGTATCCCTCACAGCAGCCCTGTGGGTACAGAGGAATGCTCAGCCTTGGGCCCAGAGAGGGTCAGTGACCTACCCTGATCACACAGCCTGAAGGTGGCAGAACTGAGATCCTCCAGTCCAGCCCTTGGCGAGGTGCTGCCTCTAGGCACTGGGGGCGAGCCTTCCCCTCGGCCTCCCTGCCAAGTTGCCCCCGGAAGAGTGAAGGAAGAAGAGGGTGCGGTCATCTCCAGCTCAGCCCTCTCTTGTGGGGCCCTCCCGGTCTCACATCCTTGCTCTCCTTGACACAGCCCCTACAGATGTCCAGGGAGAGAGGGCTGGAGAGGTGCCACCCCAGGGGCAGAGCCACAACCTGGGCAGTGCCCCGTAGTGAGGATGCCAAGCACGGAGCCTGAGGCCAAGCCCTGGCTGGCGCTGCCCACACCAGGCTGGGCTGCCAGGCGGACAGAGCAGCCCAGAGCCGGGTCACACGCCCCAAAGGTAGAGACTACCGAGCGGGGAGGGAGGGGCTGTGCGTGGCCCAACCTCGGCGGAAGGGTATTTGGCAATGGCCTTCCCAGACTGTAAGATGTGCACACGCTTTGAGAAGGAAAAAGCTGCCCCTCACAGCTGGGCCTTGACCATAAACACCTTCACGGAACATCAGCTCCGGGCAGGGCTCTCGGACTGCGACGAATCAAGAAAACAGCACGCCCGCCGCGCGCAGACGGAACCCCACGCCGGCCGCACGCGGGCCAGACGGAGCTCCGCCCTGTAGCTCCTTTACCAAGTACAGCTTTACCGCACTCCAGTCCTCTCTTCTCCCCGGTGCGATGTCTCGAGGGACCCAGTCTTCGAATCTCCCGTGACCCGACAGCACCCAGCACACAGCAGAGCCCGGCTTCCTTAAGCCCTCCCCAGCGTCCCCCGCGTCCTTCCCGGACCCTCCTACCGAGGCCTCGACGGCTCCCCCTGGCGCGGGCCCCGCCTCACTGCAACGAGCAGCAACCCCAGCTTGCTGGACCAAGGCGGGGCCGGTGACTGGCTAGACTGCAGTGACACCTTTAACCCAGGTGACCCATTCTTAAGCATTTGGTCCAAAGAAATGCTCACGTTCATAGACGTGTAGATACTCACGTAGCGTGCGTAATGATAGCAAAGCACCGAACGTGATATAAATGCCCGTGGGCAGGGGGCTGGTTAAATACATTTGGTACGATAGAGTGCTATGCAGCCATTCAAAAGGACGACGAAGAGCTGTATTTATTGATATAAAAGTGCACTGTCACGTGATAGTATTAATATTAGGTGAAAAAAAGTTTATGAAATTTTACGCACACTGCAAATGGCTGCAGGTATGGTACTGCATTATCTCTAGATAATCCTGCTTTTATAAATATAAACAATAAATATTTCAGACTCAGAAAAAAGTCACAAAAATATACATAAAAACATTAACTTTCTTGGTTTGAAGATTGTAAGTGTGTTTTTTCCCCCTTACCCGCCTTTTTAAATTTTTAGCAATGGAAATGTTTTACTTAAATAATAAGAAAAATTAAAGCTTCCCGGACACAGAGTCTGGGCTGTCTGGGAATGCAGTCGAGGTCAGGATCCGGAGCGAGGGCAGAGGAGGGTCTGGCCCAGGCAGGCGAACACCTGGGTAAGGGGTCATGGCTGGGCCCTGCAGAGTGGTGTGATGGCTCTGAGGATGCTGGCAGTGGGAGGGGCAGTCCCCTGCCCTGGCTTAGGTGCCTGTCGGGTGAGGGTCGTGGTGGCACTGAGGCTGGGCTTCTCTCTCAGAGGTAGGCTCTGCCAGGTGGAGCCCAAGAATGTAGCAAAAATAAAACAATCCCAGAGCCCCAAAGGTGCCATGCTATGCATTCCCATGGAGCAGGCTGCCAGGCGAACAGCAGGCCTGTGTCCCTCTCTCCTCGGTGCTGCCTGGCATAGCCCAGCTTCATCCACCCTGTAAGTCCCAGAAGAGACCACACCCCACCCAGCCCCCACCCCATCTAAGGCTGCCTAGGGCCTGTTCTGTGAGGGGTGGAGGTGGCCCTACTGTGGGGTGGAGCAGCCACAGCCAGGGTGCCTGGGCAGGAAGAGGGACGGCCGAGCTCAGGACCATCAGGGCCTTGGGTCTGTTTTCAAGCTGATGGCCCACACCACACACCCCACTGGCACACGTTTCCCCGAAAGATAGGTCCACATCCAATCCCCCTACCTGTGAATGTGACCTTATTTGGAAATAGGGTCTTTGCAGATATAATTGAGGATCTTGCGTGACACCATCCCGCATTTGGGAAGGGCTCTGGATCCAAGGCCTGGGGTTCTTATAAGAGAGGAGGAGGCCCCGTGACGACAGGCAGATCGGAGTGTTGCAGCTACAAGCCGAGGGACCCCAGGGAGTGCCAGCAACCAGCAGAGGCTGGAGAGAGGCCCGGAGCAGAACTCCACCTCGGAGCCTCCAGATGGAGCCAACCCCGCCGACCCTTTGATTTGGGGCTCTGGCCTCCACAGCTGTGAGATAATTAATTTCTGCTGTTGGAAGCGGCCAAGTTTGTGGTGATTTGTTGCGGCAGCCCTGAAAAACGGGTGTAGATCTGCCCACCCTGCACCCCGGGACCCCGAGCAAGTCGGGAGCAATGAGGGACTCTTAGCACGGGCACGATGCTAGTTTAATCTCCGGAGGGGCTCAGTTGCCGGCCTCCCATCAGCAACGGCTCGCCCTTTCCCAATCCTTCCGAGGGGAATGGATGTGGCACGGCTGACCTTCACACACGAAAGGACTGGACGGGAAGAGTGACAGCTTGCTACTTCCTCGACCCAACAGAAGGAAATAGATTTGCCTCCTAAAGTCGAAGAGGCTTTGTAAACACCAAATCTAAGCTAATCCAATGCATTCACTGAATTATTTAAGCAGCAAGTCAATATTTCTCATTGGCTTCGTCCTACAAACCCAGCCACGGTAACGAAGGACATGTTATTTAAATCCGTGGACAAAGAAATGTTATTTAAATCCCAGGCAGAGAAAAGGACAAATCTAATATTTAACAAAGGCCAGAAAAGACTCAACCCTTCCCAGAAAATAAATCATAGCCACACTTATTGCCAAGATCCAAAGAAAAAAGTTTATTTACAATAGAGAATTTTATTTGAAACATGCATTTTTTTTTAAAAACAAATCAGCAAATGCAGATCAAGTGTACACTCCTTAAGGCAAGAGTCCCAATGCACGCTGTACATGTTCATATTAAATCCAAAAGCTGCTCACCCTGGGGACTTGTGTACAAAGGGCAAGGCCAAGGCCAGCAATTTGTCTTTTATTAGAGAATCAGACAATCTCCCTGATACAGGAACTCTGAGGTCAACTTGCTATGAATTATACTAGGAAAATGCAAACCAATAGCAAGAGGTTCGGATAGTCTCCTTAGTACTGCATACAATCAAATCAACTTTATTCAGAAAGGAAATACAGTAGTGCATACGAAAAAGTGAAAACAGAACCTGTCCACGTGATCGGAGGAACAGCAGTGTGCCGACGGTCATATTGCACGCAACGGTCAAGTCCAAACATTTGGTTCAGAGTTAGCTTTTCCCCATCTTGGCAATCAGTTCGTCACAAATCTTCGTGAGCTCCTCTATCTCTTTATTCTGAAAGTGAAGACAAGATAGAAGCAGCTGATGTTTGAAGTCTGGCCAATCAGAATGGACATTGGGCTTTTGGGAGAGATGGGGTCACGAGGCCACTTGGTGACCCCAAAGTTATCTAAAGCAGTGAGAGAAATGACGTGGAGCCAAACAACCCGAGGATACACCCCAGCTCTGGCTGTGTGACCTTGGGCAAGTTACACAACCTCTCTGAGCCTTGGTTTCCTTATCTCTAAAATGTAGATGATGGGGAATCAAAAACTACCTATCAGGTACAACATCCACTATTCTGGAGATGGTACACTAAAAGGCCTCACTTCACCACTATACAATTCATCCCCATAACAAAAAAACACTTGTACCTACTAAATCTATTAAAGTAAAAGTAAATAAATAAATAAGATGTGATAACATCTGTCTTTCTGATAACTAAATGAGGTAAGAAATGTAAAGTTCCCTGGCACAGGGACCAGCACAGAGGAGACGATTACCTGGCGTGGTCCCTCTCCCTTTATTTGCCTCTGAAGGATGTAATCAGAGGTGACAGGTGGCAGTGGTCTGGGGTGAGCCCTTTGGTGGCTGTTTTGAGAACTGGCACAAGGAGGGTTGAGCAGTTCCACTTGGACGGGGTCACTAGCATGGTTCGGAGGATGTCAGATGGGTGGTGCTGTGGATACCGGGGGCACGGAGAGAGGCAGGAGCAGACGCAAGGTGGCTTCGAAGTGATCCTCATGCCACACCCTGGTGACCAACCACCCAGGGGACTCTTAAGGCTCAGCAAATTGTCTGGAATGGGGCTGCCTGTCTGGAAATACCCGCTTCAAGAACACGTGCAGGGAGGGGCTCGCTCACAGGACACTCCTGGGCACAGTAGATGGAGCACCAGGTCCAAAATCGGGAAACCTGGGTACGTGGTAAGTGACCCCAGGAAGATGCCCCGTCCACGAAACTAGAGGACACCAGGCACCCTGACACTGCCCATTTTCTGCATCAGCTGATTGCTGCTGCCGGGAGCCTGGTGGGTGTCCCATCTACTCCCCAGTAAGCACGCTGGATGCAGAGTTCAAGTGCCACACCTGGCACACCTTAGGTGCTTAATAAATGCCTGACGAATGAATGTTGAAAACGAATGAAAATGGCAACACCCTGCAGGCTGCAACTCCAGGAAAGGTGGAAGGGAAGCCAGTCTCAGGATTAGCACTAAACCGGAGGGAGACAAAGGTATGCTCATGGTGCACAAACTTGACCTTGGGAGCGGCAGCGGGCCAGGGACGCCTGAGGCCGCCCCGTCCTGTTACCTTCTGCTCCAGCGTCCTCTCCAGGGCGTCCACTCGCAGCTGCTCCTTCCGCAGGCTGGCCTGGTGGGCGGCCTGCTCCTGCTGGGCCTTGCCTCGGACCTGGGCGATCTCGGCATTGGCCCTGGCGGGAACAGGGAGCCCCAAAATTATTACCCTTCCTTGTAGGTTGCCAGAGGCCCCTGCCACCTCCCAACTCCCGGCAGGGACAATGGTCTGGTCTGGCCCCAGCTCCCATCAACTGGAGCCAGAGCGCAGAGGCCCAGGAGAACCCCCACACCCAACTCCACTCCCGTGACGCCGAGGTGCTCTGGGCACCCTGGACATTACAACATGCGTCCTCCACGTATCGAAACGGTGCCGAGAGTGTGCCCTCCGCACGAGTCTTACCAAAAAGTGCACATGGATTGCCCACCCTTTCCAAGTCAGCCTCGGGTGCCGGTAGAGGTCCCAGCCCACCTGGGTAGGGGCTGCTGAGTGGCCCGTGGGAGCAGAACCCGGTCGCTTTACCTGTCCAGTTTCTCCTCTGCGTGCACCTTCAGAGCCTGGTACCTCTGCTCCTCTTTCTTCACTCGGGACAGGTACTCCTGCGCGCACCTCTTCAGCACCTCTTCGTTCTAGCACCAGAGAGGACGGGGCTGAGTCCATCAGGAGAAAGGCCCAGGAGTGCTGGGAACCCCACGAACTCTCTGACGCAGGTTTAACCCCCGGCAGCCACGTCTGCCTCCCCAGCCTTCCAGGACCCCGCTTCAGGGGTGGCTCACGATGGACTTCAGAACCCCCAACCCCGGCCCTGGGGCTCCCCACAATCTCTCCCAACATGCTCCCCCTTCTCCACTGCACACATCCAGCCTCCCGTTCGGCCCCCGGACCCACGCCCACCTTGCGGAAGCCTTCCAGGACCTCCTTCATCTTCTCGTATCTCCTGAAAAGGTCGGCCAGAGACTTCTCCACGGAGTTCAGGTCAGCCAGCGCCTGCTCCTTCTCCAGGACCAGCTGCTGCACCGTCTGGTGGGAGACCGACTTCTCCCTCTGTTCGTCCTCTGGCAGAGACACAAGGAACCAGACGATGGAGCCCAGGAAGTCAGAACTGGGTCTCTGGGGCGGCAGAGGCCTCAGACTAAGTCAGCCCGACCAGCAGGGGCATCACAAACCCCAGCTTTTCCTGGGGACAGACCCATGCCCCGGAGCCCTCCCAGACTGTCTAAAGGAACAAAACCCACGGCCCCGGCAACCCAGAGCTGGGCTGTGCCGTCTCACATGGGGTGGAATTAGCCAATAGTCTTTAACCTGATCAATGTAGCTGTTTAAAATCTATAATGTAGTCCCCGGGAATTCTATGTGGTTGTTGACAGCAAACAGATAGATCCACAGGGTAAAAAGGAAGATGTCATCACTGAATTTTGTGTTGGGGTGAGACTGAAGGGTGCTGGGATCTGGGCTGTGCGCGGTGGGCCTAAGAATTATCAAGACAGGCAGCAGGTCTTTGGAATCCGTAAAACACCCGGGAAATCCAAAGCCCACCAAACTGTCTCCTCTGAAATTCTATTATATTTCACACAGAAACTGAGAGCTTCTTTGACACAGCAAGTGTCTTAACTCCAAGAAGCATGGAGCTATTCCCGTCAGAGTGAGTTTCTCCGTGAGGTACAAAAGAATAAAATTTTGGTCCAGTTCAGAGTGGTCCTCCACCCCACCTCTCTGGCTCTTGGCCAGCTCAAGCGAATAATCTGCCCCGAATGTCTAGAAAAATCACTTCATATATATGGGAAAGGCTTTCTCCAACTACTCTTACATAAAACAGCCCCCACACCGCATGGCACCCTCTGTGCTCTCTGTGCTGATCCATCCCCAGCCCAGGTGGGCGAGGAATCATTTACTCTCCTGGCAACAGCAGAGTGGGGAAGGGAGAGGCCTCGCTCAGAGCTCCTGGGGAGGGAGGTCAGCAGACCTTTCTGTCAGCCCCAGGTCACCTGGGAGGGGGCTGCCCGCTGCTCGGGCCTGGCTGCCACAGGACCGATCACATCTGGAAATCGCTGTGACAAAAACAGCAGCAGCCGGTGCTCGCTGGGCCCTGCCATGTGTCGGGGCCGTGCTGACCTCTCTACTCACTGACTGCCCCTAAGCCAGCACCCGGCAGCCAGACCGAGCTTCCCGAAGTGCAGACCAGGCCACCCTACTCCTGCGTGGGAAGGAAATCCAAACCCTCGCCCTCCCTGGCCGCTCTGCTCCAGCCACCAAGTCCTCCAATGCCCCAGGTGGTCCTGCCCCAGGGCTTCCCGGGGCTCCCTGCCATTGACTCAGGTCTCTGATCCCATGTCACCTCCCCAGAGTGGGGAACGCCTCATCTCCACTCTGTCTAGTCCTTTGTTTCCCTCCTCAGGCCGTAGCCACCTCTTATTATATCAGACATGCACGTGTCAGCTACTCAGCTCCCTGACGAGGGCAGACGCTGGTCTGCCCGGGGCCTAGGGCAGCGCCCTGCACACGGCATGCCTCCATACCAGTCCGTGCACTGAATGAATGACTGAAGTCTCAGGACCACCCGGGAGGTGGGGGTCTTCTCGTCCCCATTCAGAAGCGAAGCTTGGAAGGTTTGAGAAGCTAAGTCACAGGTCACCGGGGAAGTGGCAGAGCCCAAACCCAAAGCCGTGATGGTAACCGCATCTCTACCTGGGCCCCTTGGAATGACAGACCTTGAAGGACCTGGCTCCCTTAGCAGCAGGGAGCTTTTGCCACGGGTTCTCTTCCCTTAATTTCCAGATACACTAGATCAGCATCTTGCCATACCCTGGAGTTAGGCACATTCTTACTGGGTGGTGTGCCGGGGGCCACATCCTGGGTTTTAGCTCCGGCCCTGACATAAGCTTGCTCAAAAGTCCTGACCTCTCAGGGTCCCAGGGCCTCGTTTCCAGAGGCTCTCCCATGTGATGAGTGTGCACCCGATTCAGCTGGAGAACCCCGCAGGTTCCGATTCAGTAGGTCTGGGGTGGGGCGGAGAATCTGGATCTCTAACAAGCTCCCCAGTGACGTAGACAGATGCTGCCGGTCCAGGACTCTGCCCGGAGAGCCACGGGCCTAGAAGATGCCTGAAGTCCCCCCAGCCCTGCCTCTGTGATCACAGGACTCCCAAGAGCTCTCTCTGCCAGCGGCCCGGAGCTGCCCAGGGCAGTGGCTTAGAGGCACCCAAGCCTGACTGCCCGGTTTGCATCCTGTCTCTGACACTTCCCAGCTGTGCGACACTGAGCAGGGATTTTAAACTCTGTCTCAGCCCCCTCACCTGAGATAGGGGACGACAGTATTTATATCTCACGGCATTTGGAGGAAGATTAAATGAGACTGTATATAATGCCCTAGACACCTAGGAAGTGCCCAGTATAAGTGACCCATTATCGACAGCATCATTGTCTATAATGAACCCCGTGACAGTCATTGGTATGACAGTGTGTCACAGTGACTAGTGAAGGGGAAATTTTTAACACAGAGCGAGATAAGAGTCACCAGCAATCTGCTTGCTCCATCTAGACTCCTAAAAGAAAGGGCGTTTCAAAGTCTCACTAGTAATCAAATCCTGGTTTTTATTCTTTGAATTTTAGCTGCTTCCTCAGTTCCCAGAACGCTGCACGGTGTACATTCTGGGCTGATTGGAGCCCATGTATACATTGCACTTGGCTTGGCAATGGAGCCATTTATCAAACCAAGTTCACCTGATTTCCTGGACCCAAGACTTTGCTCAGGTTTCCTTTCCTCCTGCCCCAACCTTTTAAAAGTGGAATTGCCCAGTTCCCAGGAGACTGAGGAGGCAAGAATGCTTCACAAATCTTTTCGTAAATGATAAAAGCAGTTAGGGTCTTCAAACCAGGAAATCAGCCTTAAACCAAAGGCAGTGTAGACCTGACAACAAAACAATGCCCCTGAAGACTTTTCTGGCTTTTCAGGCAAAACATCATTAAATGGAGTGGGAAATGCGGCAAATACACAAAAGCAAAAAGAACAAAAAAAGAAAAACAAACAAACAAACAAACGAGGGTTGCAATGGGCAGGTGTCGGATTAGGGGGAAAGCATTTACTTACCAGGCTTGCCTGTTTGTTTTGCAAGCAAAGGGCAAGCAGCAACAGAAAATGGAAGCAAAACAGATAATCAGGGCAGTTGTTAGGAAAGCAGAAAAAAATCAATTGCAACAACCTGGAATGCAGAAAGCACAGAAGTCTCTTTTTGTTCTGAATGCTAAATAATCAATATTTGAGTTTAATAAGACATATTCTCTTTAGTAACCTTTGATGAGAATGAATGACAATGGCAAGATGACATCACCCTGGTGTGGAAGCCCTGGAGCCAGGAAGAGCTAGCAGGTGTCAGAGGGACTGGTTTTAATTTCAAGACGCTATCACGTTCACTCTGGTCCTGAGCTCTCCCCACCGAGTTTCCCTTCCATAAAGGACGCTGGTCAGGTGCGTGAAAATGGGAAGAGAAGTATGGAATCCAGACAGGACTCACGGGCGTGGTTCCGTGTATGGAGAGGCTCAGACCTGCCCAGCGAGAAGGCACGTCCTGCCCACAGCTACCGCGGGTCCCAGCCACGCCTCCGCCCTCTGCTGTCTTCCACAAGGACAGGAAGACCTTGAAATCTATGATGGCCTTAACCACTGACCTGCAACAGTGACTGAGGATGACACCCACACACCTGCCACCTTTCTGATGAGAAAAGCTCTGGAAAGGTGGACGACGAAGAGGATGATGAATGGGTGAATGAGGAACAGACGCACAGTGAGATCCGCCCTGCGTGGGATGCTGCTCCAGGCGGGCATGCTGGAAGGGTCACCTGCCCACCCAGAGAGTGCTCCCAGGACAGGAAAATGCTCGAAAAGGGGTTGTACCCACACTTCAGATGGTCTAGGATTGAAAATGTCCTAACTGCTCTCACCTACAAATATTCCTCGAGGAAAGTCTGAGAGTCAAGTAGTCTTTCTGTCACGACAAGGACAGGCCACTCTGGCCAACTAGAGAGGTTCTCACGCTTTTAATTCTCAAGAGGGAACATCTGTTTATATCAACTTTGCCAGCTGAGCAATGAAAGCTGGCTCTGGGCGGCCTTCTCTCCGGGCAAAAGCTCGCAGCCTTTCCCCGACCTCAACATTTGCTGAAATGTCATCACCAAGGGCAAAAATAACAACATACGACCCTGAGATGGAGCAGGAGGTTCCCAGATGAGCCATGGTAGGTCTAAGGGATGCTGTCACATCCCAAGACTCCAAGGAGGCCAAAAGGTCGTGCTCCACTTGCCAACTATCGCATATTGGAAGACATAAATCCTTCGTCCTGAACATTTTTACCAGCATTTTCAACTCCAAGAGTTTAACATTATTTTAAATCTCATCCATGTGTTCATAAATTTTTATACCAATTTAATAAAGAAATTTCATTTTGATGGAAAGCAGGCACCATGAAGGTGAACCTCAGAAACACCTGAATGGGCTTCTCCTGGAGCTCTGGGTGGAATGGGCGTTATTATAACAAATCAAAATGAAAGCTCCTTTGGGTGGACAGCACTCAACTGTTGGCCTCTTCACCGTTCTCGACGCTACTGTTACATTTATCTCGGGACAAGCTAGAGGTGTGATGTGACTCATACGTCCAAACGTTTGAGAGAGGGGCCAGGTACGAACACAGTGTCGAGCCTGGACACATGAACTGTGGTTTGCAGTGACCTGGAGTTTTTATTCTATATATCCTTAAGAGAAAGCAATCTTTAAAAAACTGATTATCGTGAACCCTAAGCAAATAAACAGAGAGACAGATGGATAAACAAGCAGTCTTCCCTTCTAAGAGTCACAATAACATCATTTCTGAATAGTGATCACTAGCATAAAACCTTGGGCTTGAAACTTCTGCAAAGATCTTTCTCATTATTAAAAAAAACAAAGAAAGCAAAGAAAAGAAAAACAAAAAAAAGGCCCAGGTGTGGGCAACGTATAACTTGAGACCTTTCTTTTATTGTGGGCCAAAGCAATCCATCAGTACTGGCTGCCAGGGGCGCTGTGTTAAGATGGATTCTGAGGCAGTGTCCAATCTCAGTGAGAAACAGTGCTGTGACTCTGCTGTAGTCACAGGAGGAAGGGGCCAAGCAGTCACCCCGCAGTCTACTATCCTTGCCCTAGACCCTCATGTAAAGCCTGAGTGAAGATTTTGTCCCTTGAGTCTAAAGTAAATTACGGTCTACAGATTTGATTCCTATTCTCTCATAAGCAAAAAATGCCCCCAAACATCCCAGGAACCAGCCCGAATCTCTTTCCCCTTGAGGTGGACAGTCCTTGGCCGGCTCAAATGGTAGCGACCAAACTCACTGCCAGTTTCCCACAACATGAATAATGCCACGGCACATTCCAGCAGGTGTTCCCAGGAGGTCCCAGGCTCCGTGCGCTGGAGCAAGGCCACGTTTTCTTAGATGCTTTGGTCCCTCCCTGAAGGATGTCCTGCTTTACAAGGAGCCCACCTGAGCCTCCCATCTTCCAGGGCCTCCCCATGGTCTAGACACGTCAGGGAAGGCCTGTGGACACCCACCTATCATCTGAGCGATGGTCTTCTCATACTCGGCCACTATTTTCCTGTAAGAGAAGTAAAAACACGTTGGAGTCGTGACAATAGGAGGGGTTTCAACCTCACGCAGGGGCCCCAGTGCTGGACATCAAGGGCCTGACCGATGTCCAGCGGGACAGGCCTTATCTGTCAAGGTTGGGCTCACACTTCCTGGGTCACCTCCACCTTCGGCCCTCTCCCTGTGCACCTAAATAGGTTCATCTTCCCAGTGCGTGGCTCTGAACACACCACCCCCAGCAAGATCTTCAACATCCCCCACTGCCCACTAAGGAAAAAAATAAGGCCAAACCTACAGCCCCACAATCAAAGCCTTCCACAGTGTCTGGGCCCAGCCACCCTCATCAGTCTTACATCTTTCCATGCCATCTCACGAACAGAGTGGTTCAGTGAGAACAAATGATTTCTTGTTTGCTCTGGGCTTTCTCACCCCCATGTCTTTGCCCATGTTGTTCACCTCCCCTCTGTATTTCCACCTCTCATAGTCTGTTTCTCAAGGTCCACTTCAAATGCTATCTCCTCCAGGAAGTCTTCCCTGATTTCTCCTAGGAACTCGGTAACATTTTATCTGCATCTGCTTCCAAAGCATCTCATATGTCTGGCATCACTGAATATGAGTCTCACCTCCTACTGGAGTAGAAGCTCCTCAAGGCCCAGAGGCCACTTCTTATTTGTGTTTGCAGAGCAGGGGATGGGCCTGAAGTAGCACTTCTTGGGTAGCCTCAATAAACAGTAGCTGCACAAAAGCACTAAGATCTCCTGCTTGTGGTACTGTCTCACAGGTGCCCTCAAGAGAAAGGACCAACATATGGCTTCCCTCCAAGGCCAATCTTCTGGAAGAAACCTCTCAAACAGACTCAGGGTTTCATCTGCATTATCTAGTAATTGTTCCCTACAAGAGAACCAAGAGCTGCTCACTGCCAGAGATCCAGGATCCAGATGACAGAGAACTACAAAGTCCCTGGGATCAGGACGTCTGGGCTCTAGCGGAGGCACCTCTCCTGGCTGTGGCTTGGGCAAGCTGTTCACAGGTGCTGGGGGGCTCCGCTGACGCCTTGGCACACTAGTCTCAGGCCTTGGGGCCACGTGTGGCCTTCTGGATCCTTGACTGTGGTCTTTTGACTGAATCCAAATTTTACAGAGCAAATCCTTTTATTAAAAGGCCGTAGGTTCCTCACCCCTGCGTGACTTCCAGGGCCGTGGGGGGAATTCGCCAAGGGTAAAAGGGAGACAAAAGCGGACCGCACTCTGCAAAGTCCAGAGGCCACACGGCTGCTGGGGATCTGTCCCTGGCTTCTCAAGCTTGGTCTCAAGGGCAGCGACTCACCCAAGGACAGACTCACAACAAGAAGGGTAACCACGACATGAGCCCACTTGGGTTCTTCCCGAATCCTACACAGAACACTTCCGTGTTTTCTGTGATTAAACACCTCCCCACATCCCATAATCCTAAAACCATGATGGATGTCTGAAGGCGCCTTATCGAGGAAACAGAGGGAAGGGACGTGTCCTTTCCTAAGTGTGGGGACACCGGGGACTGAAAGTGCTTTGGCGGGGCTGTCTTTCCACTTCACCCTCAGATGACCCCGCGAGGAGGCGCTCACTGTCCCCGGCAGCACTACTGATGGGGACACGGGGTCATCTGGTGCTTCAGAAACTTTTCCAGGATCCCAGGGCTACCGAGTGGCACAGCCAGGATGTCAATCCGGGCATCGGACTCTGGAGCCTTTGTTCATAACCCAACGCTCTGCTGCCCTGACGCACTGCCATTCACCCCCATTTTACAGACAAGGAAAGTGAGGCACAAACTTAAATAAGATGCCCAAAGCAGCTGGGAAGCAGCGCCTGACTTTCGCCTGGTCTGGCTCCAGAGGCCAACAGGCTGACATTCGGGCCATCAAATGCCAGTGCAGCTGAACTAGCTGGTGACATCTCGAAATTCTACCACATCCCTTAGTTCACAGCACTCCCTGGGCCCCCATGGGTACAACTTCTCCCGGGGCAGGGGCCGAAGGAATCGGAACTAGAACTTCCGGCCTTCCCAGGATGGCCTACTTCATTTTCAGTACCAGTAAAAAACTAGAGTCATCTGTCCCCCAAAAGAAGAGAGAAAAGAAAGAGGTTTAAAAATAATGCCCTGCAGGGCTTCGATTTGAATGTGAAACAGCACACTCTAAGATTAACCTCCAGGAGCAGTCACAGGAAAGCGTCAGCAGAAAGAAGGAACTAACAGGACAGCTTTCAGGAAGATACTATTGTGACCTAGAAAACGGGATATGATCACCTAATACTTTGCTTGCTACATAAAATGGCAAGGAATGCAATTGATTTCAATAACAAAGTAGCACCCACCATTATAACTAAGTACACTCTATGTGGTGGCTACTGTGTTTCTATTACAATACACAACAAATGAAGATAAACCATTTAAGCCAAAGTCAGGAAACATTCTAAACGTTCATCCACTGAGACCGGTTCAATTAATTATGTTAGATCTGTAGGATGGACCGTTAAGCAACTGCTAAACACAAGGAGGTAGAGACGCATGAAATATGTCCAAGATATACTGTTAAGTTAAAAAAGAGTGTGGAATAATGCATACTGCACTTCCTCATTCATCTGGGAGGAAAAGGGAGGCCGTATGGATAGATACATTCACACATTTGTGAGGAGGAATGGAAAATTCTTACAAGGATCCACCAGAAACGGGGGACAGCAGTCACCTGCGGGTTGTGGGACAGGAGGCTGGCGGGGAGGGATCTGTTTTGCACCGTATGTATATTTATTTGAACATGTTCTTTAACTCACGTGCATGCTATTTTAATAATAGTAATACACTAAAAATACTTTTGTGGAAACATGAGCCTGCATCATAAAGAAAAGAGAACTTCTGTAGCAGACGCTATTCCTCGGACCACGCCAGCTCCGGCCATCATCAAGCCACGGGTGAGCATCCCCCAGGCACCAGGGTGGCCGAGCACCACAACTGACCTCATTTCCATCACCTCCCGCCTGCTTTCTTCGTATTTGTCTTTCCACTCCGTCACCTCTCTCTCCTTCGTTATGATCTAGTGTCGGGGAGAAGAAGAGAAAGGTTAACCCCAAAGGAGTGGATCTGGATCTGAGCAATTCACAGACCGAGACCAGGAGACAGGGAATAAATGTGGAATTAAAACTTCCTACGCGAAACCGCAATTACATTCAGAGATCTCCCTGTGCGTGAGAAGGAAATAAGCCAGATACCAGACTTGCACAGTGCTCCCTGGGGAGCAAATGAAACGAGTATGCTTTTTGTTATGAATTCATTAAACAATGGTGCCTGGGAAGATCAAAGCCCAAGGTTTGCCACACATTTCTGCCTGCAGTGCTCAGAGGAGAAAGTCTGTCTCCAAAGGCACTGGCTTTGTGGACCACATATATGTATTTATTTATAAGGGCAGGAAGAGGCTCCTTTCCCGGGGAGACCAAGCCACGTGCCACGATACCTCTGCCCTGGCCATCTGGAGTGTGGAGTCCAAGTCGGGCTGCTGGAACAGGAGGCCTGCAGGTTTCTCCACCTCAGCGGTCCCGATGCGGGAGTACAGGGCTGTTTTGGAGATGGAGACATCTGTTGGGTGAGCCGCCTCTCTCTGTGGAATGATTTTTTAATTAAAAAAAAAAAAAAGGGTTAACATTAATCACAGGACAAAGAGGACGGCATTCATCTCATGAATGGGTTGGCTGTGTGGTTTTGAAACAGAGAACATCAAAAGTATGAGAAAATGCAGAGACTCATGAACAGGGAAGTGCCAGGCTGAGTCTGCGGAGATCTACCACCTTGCACCTGGGCAGCAGACAAAGAGCGGAGGCCCCTGCGACGTGAGCCCCTGGAGTCAGGCGCGGCTGGTGCCTGCGTATCACCGCCATTTATCAGACGCCGAACCACTTAGGCGTAGCGCGTTAAGACCAAGGTCACTACCCGGTAGGCTCCACTTGCAAAATAAAATCTTGATGGTGACGATGTTGAATTCTAGTCTACTTTTGGCTAGTTTTGAATAACCACAGATTTGATCAGTTTTGTAAGACTGCCCACATTTCAATTTGGGGGGAGTTTGTTTAGCTCCATTTGAAAGGATGGATGTGATTCACACAATGCTTAAAGCTTACTGTGGTTGTTAACCAAATGTCACCTTCAGCAAGCTAGAGTTTCTGGATGTGAAGAGTTACGTTGCCATGAAGTCTGTTACATCAGTGGGAAAATTTAAAACTGGATAATGACAAAATATCCACTTCTGCTGATCAGACCCTCAGCAAGTAGTACACGATCCACCATCCCACCCCACCCCACTGACATTGGTTTGAGGCTCTAAAGCCTTTTGTAGAGGACACCAGCCTCCTTAGGGGTCATTCTCTCCTTTGCACAAAATGCCGAGCAAGTTGCCACACAGTTGAAATGCAGTGTTAGGAGCATCATCAACCGGCACAGCCGGGTTGTCAGTCTACTTCTACCGCAAAAGGAACATCAAACCAACCGCACTCTCCGTCCTATGCATTAACCTCGGGGCGCTGCCATGGCTGCCAAGGTGCACCCCTACCCTCGTTACCAGAGTCCCAATCAATGGGTGGCAATGGTGGACTAAGAGGCAGGGTGGGACTGCTTCCTGGGAAGGCATGAGAATAAATTGAGCGGTGAACAGAACACCACAGTGCAGCAGAGATTTGAGGAAAGCGTGATGAGGACTCAGAAAGGGCAGCAGCTTAAAGAGCTGACAGTAACCAGGAACAGTGCACCTGAACACACTCAGCAGAATTTCTCTCTTCAATGACAGGAACAGGCATGCTGACCCTACTACGGCATCAGGGGAAATGAACTTGAGATGGAGACAGCTTAGGAAACGCAGGTAGAAGTTTAATGGATAGGACCAGAGATGACTGGGTTAGGAATAGTTAGTTGTACACATGCAACTACATGGTAAATTTAGGCTGTCCTGGAAGAGAATTCGGATTGCTTGGATTTCCCTGCCCTGCGTGGCCTCGAGCGCTCAGGCTGACCCTGAAGTGGGACCAGAATGATCCGCCAGCCAGAGACGGGAGTGCACAGCCACCTTCGACCAGACCCCAGAGACTCGCTCACGTGAACACAGGGTATCACGCTCTTCTCAGTCTCAGGCCCTCAAGAAGCCTCTGTTTACAGGACACGTGACCAGAAAGAACACAGGTCAACAGCCCTGAGCAGAAGGGCACGGCCGGTCCACAGGGCCAGCCCCTCGCACCCGATCTCTGCTGTTTGGAAATGGTTTTCACAGTTCTACGTGTCGCACAGGGAACTGCTCTGGAAGTAGCTGGAAAATTACACCGAGAGACGGAGACTCAGTATTTGCCCTTATGGAGAAAATTCATAAACACAAAATTCTGAAAAAGATTAAAAAAAAAAAAAACCTATTCCTATCACTCTTAAAGTAAATGTGTTCTTCAGAAAGTGAGAACGAGAAAATCTCAAAATGAAAAGAAAATTAGACACCATCAAATTCAGCCTAGTTCTTCTGAAGATGAAAAAAGCTCAAGATCTGAGAGATCCGGCCAAAAGTTCTCCCAGAATGAGATTCAGTTCTGACCCAAGATCAACTGGCTCCCTGCAGCACAAAAGAAAATGGATTTAATTAAAACTAACTTTATCATACTGGGCAGAAACTCAATATGACCAAGGAAAGAATTAATGCTCTTTAAGCTGCCCACAGTCCTTTGTAAAACAAGAAAGGGAATGAAAAAGTCAATAAAATACTGAGCTTTCTAAGTAAATGCAAGCGGACACCACCCTATAGAGTGATTCGCTGTTCCCTCCACCCAGGCCACCTGGTGTTTTCAATAAAGAAACAGATGACTTCAGAACCCACTTGAATTACTGCCTGAGTGTCTGCATGTTAATGAAATTCATTGTACAAACCCTGTTTTTTTTTTTTTTTTACAACCAAGAATTGTTAACTGAAATTAATAGGTTTGTCTCTCCCTGATATTTTAAGATCAGATATTTTTAGATTAAGCTTTGTTTCTCTCACATAATCCCCCACTTGCTACTTTCCAGGGGCAAAAAAAGCGCCACTAGAATCACAAATTGAAATGTAAAACGGCCACAACCCAGAAAGCACGGGCCTTGCAACCAACTTCCAACCTCCAGCTCACTCCTTAAGTCCTGGGTCCTGCGAGAGCCCCTGGCCACCGTCACCCCCTTCAGACATGCAGGCCCGTGCCTGGGGTCTTTCTGGCTGCCAGCCTCAGGGGTGGGCACTGTGGCAGGATTCCTGTCCCCGGGAGCTGTCAGAGGCCAACTCTGGGGGGTGTGCCTGCAGATCGGAGGCTGGGAGAGCCGGCCCAGGGGGCCACAGAGGGGTGAGGACTAGGAGTCTCAGTTAGCTGGGGAGACGACAGCCACCTGGGCTAAGGCCACGGGGCCTGGACACAGGCTAGGTGCATGGGGGGATGTCCGGGCCATGTGCCGCCATCTGGGCAGGAGAGTGGTGCCGCCCTGTCCCAACATACGTGCTCAAGCCCAGGAGCGACAAACACGGGGAAGGCACTCAGCACCACGCCCTCTCACGGAAGGCCCCGCCACCCACCCCCGGCCCAGACCGGGCCTCATCACCCTCAGCAGCCTCTGGGCAATGGCCACAGATTCTCTGGACGGCCAAGCCAGCAGATGCTCAGGAGCCAGCCCCTGTCGCTCCTCTCGGGCTGTTTTCATGGCTCTCAGGCATCCTGTGTCCCTCCTTTTGAACCACCATTAAATGGGGGAGGGGGCTTTGTGGACACAGCACGAAGGGAGACACAGAACGTGGTGACAGGCTGCTCGCCAACAACACAGGCTGCCCCAGACCCAGCTCCTTCTACCACTCGTGTAAAATCCAGGCGTCCGCCCTCCTAGGCCAGGACTCGCAGAGGAATCAGACGCAACGCACCCAAAACACCACTTTCCCGCCCAGGGTGCCTGTTGCTAGGACTTGCTCCCTTCCCGAAGCTTGCTCGTGTCACCTCATTCCCCAGTCTACATACTGGGTCCCCATCATCCAGAAAGGCCGGCAGCTTCAGGGATCACGACCAGTATCTGTTACACACATGAGTTAACTCAATTCCCCTCGTGCCCCGCCGCCCTGCAAAGCCACCCGGGCCTGCCGTTCAGGGTCTTTCCAACCTGAAGAGTGTCAAATTCATCCGACAACCCTGGTCAGTCTCGCCCCCAGGAGGACACAAGCAACCAAACTCAGTGCGTCCAGAAGCACGTGGAAGGCAAGTGACAGTGAGGCTGTAGCCTGACACCCCTGCCCCTATGGACTTTTCCTCATTTCTAACGTCTAACGAGATGGAGAAAACCCCGCTGCAGTTCCTCGAAGGCCGACCGGGCTCTCTGTCGGACTAAAGAGAAATGCAAGTTGAAGCTGCTCTAAAGAACAACGGGCAAACCCCCCACTCCTTCTCATGCTGGTTTTCGTCCGCTCAATAGGATATTTTTCGTACCGAGTGATTTCAGCTGTGTGTTAGCAACAGCTTAGGACCGTGCTGCCAAAAAGACTAAGCTGCGTCACCTGCAGCTGAAATACATGGGGGTGGGAGGGGCAGAAAAAAGGGCAAACTGGATACACGGCTGCTGGTCTCTGTGTGCGCAGTTTCCAAAGCAGCGCGGGGCAGTCAGTGTCTGTGTGAAAAAGGAAGCCAAAGGAACACGGTGGGGTCAGGCCAGTGGCTCACCCTCGGGCTGCTGAGCTACAGGAACGGCGTCTAGTTCCCAGGGGCCACAGTCACCCGATACTGTACTTTTTACAAAGTGATACAAGGTACTAAGGTAGAGAAAAACGTCCTTACGCTCCAAGACGGTTCTAGCCAACAGAACATCTCTCTGAGCACGCACTTGTGAAGTACAGAAGGTGGCTTGCACCGTCTCTCTGACCCACACTCGACGGATCAATATGACATTATTTTCTAAATCAAAATAGGGACACATGGGCTGGGCGCGGTGGCTCACGCCTGTAATCCTAGCACTCTGGGAGGCCGAGGCGGGCAGATTGCTCAAGGTCAGGAGTTCGAGACCAGCCTGACCAAGAGCGAGACCCTGTCTCTACTAAAAAAAATAGAAAGAAATGATCTGGACAACTAAAAAAAAAATATATATATATATATATATATATATATATAGAAAAAATTAGCTGGGCATGGTGACACATGCCTATAGTCCCAGCTACTCGGGAGGCTGAGGCAGTAGGATCGCCTGAGCCCAGGAGTTTGAGGTTGCTGTGAGCTAGGCTGACGCCACGGCACTCACTCCAGCCCGGGCAACAGAGTGAGACTCTGTCTCAAAAAAAAAAAAAAAAATAGGGACACATGGGCTGAGAACAAGTTGTGACTGGCAGGAAGTCATCTCCTGGCTGATATTTGGGGACGACTGTCTCTGGCAGGCTCCCAGAGGAAGGAGGCAGGTGCACCGAGACACTCGCCACGCTTCATACCCAATCTCAACTACTCATCGGAACACGCTCAGTTCTGCCTTGAACGTCTGGACAGGAACATACCATTATGTATAGCGGCCAAACTTCAGGCAATTCGTCTGTCTTTAAGCCACTCCCCAAGGATAGTGAGAAATAAATCTAGTAGGGGAAAAAAATCCTCACTGCTTAACGCTTTCTAAAAATCTCGCTTTCATGGAAATTCAACCTAAGTTTCTGGTTTGGCAACAAGGACCTCACCAGTCTGTGCTTACATTCTTGTCCCCACCCTGGGTCCCCGTGTTCCCAATCTGGACATCCACAGTGTGGGCACCTTCTGTCTCTGGGAGGGGTCTCCCTTTGAGCTCCAGTGACGGGGACAACAAGTGGGGCCCTCAGGGCAGGAGCAGCAGCTGGAACTCCTGCTCCCGAACCAAGCACAAGAGGTGGAGACACCACTGCCCCCTCTGCAGACGAGCTGTTTCTGGAGACAGGCAGGCCGGGGCTCCCATTTAGAGACCCAAGTTCTGGTCCCCACCAGGCTGATAAACTGCCGGCACCTGGCTCCATTTCCCATCTGTAAAATGGGACCTGGATTCCGCTACTGAGGAGAGACGCTGGGAGCCTCTGATCAACAGAGGCAAGAGTGCAGTGTTAGCCAATAGCAGCAGCTTTCTTCCACTGCACACCTACTATGCGCCGGGCACAGTGCCACTCTCCACACCCGTGAGGGCTGCAGTCCTCAAGGCAACCTGCAAACTCGCTGTTATTGGCCTCATCTCACAGATGGAAAAACTGAGAGTCCCAGAGAGTTTCACTAACTGGTTCAAAGCCACAGAGCACAGGTGGGTCCAGCCCTGGTCTGACACACCAGGCTCCCCGGGCTGTCCAACTCAGGCAGGGCAAGGGCCTGGGAATGACACACACATTCTGCATGTCAACAGCAGCAGCCACTCCAAATGTTAAGAAAAATTACCCCAAACTTGGAAGCCAGGCAAAAAGATGTCCGCATGCCCTGTCACCATCACACCCGCACTAAAAGCAGGGGTTGGCAAACTCTGGTCCGCGGACCAAATGCACACTGCCCTTTTTAGTAAAAAACAAAACAAAACAAAAAAAAACCAGTTTTACTGGAACATTGTCACGCCTTTCATCTGCACACTGTCTGAGGCTGCTTTCACACTACAGTGCAGAACTGACTAGCTGTGTCAGAGACTTCGGCCAGCAAAACCTGAAGTTATTTACTCTCTGCCCTTTACAGAAAGGATTGCTAACCCCTGGTCCAGAGCATTACGTCTCGGTTTCACTTACTATTTATTATTGATCAGGGCTCACTCTCAAATGTAAGTTAACATTTACACGTTAACTTGTAGAAAATAGAAAAGTTGCAAATTATTTTTGTTCAGTAGAGAAGCAAATGGTATCTGTAGAGGGAAAAAAAATAACCTCGAGGTTATGATTTTTTCCCACTCTGTTAAGTCAGCATTAAGTGGTTTTATATCTCACCCTGCAATCTCACTCTAGCCTTCTTCACCCCACTGACTCTAAACATTGGTTTCTCATCTTCTCCTCCATTTAACCAGCACCACGGCCCTCCCGGTTCCCTCACTGCAAAGTTAAATAGATCCTATTAATAGATACGTGCTCAGTGTGTATTTACACGAGAGTTCCGCTTGCAGCATTTTGGAAACGGCACTTTGTCGGACAGCGACAATGCCTGCCTGATGGATGGTTAGCAAAGCAGCTTCCTGAGCACAGCGGCACACACGACATTCTCAGGAGGCAGCGCACGGCAGCGGCAAACCGGTACCTTGGCGTCCTGGCGGCTGCGGGAAGCCAGCGCAATCTGCCTGGCCAGCTTCAGGGCTTCTATCCGCATGACGGCAAACTCTAACTCCTCCTGCCCGCGGCCGGGGCACGCGCAAACCGCAGGGAAATGCATCGAGACAGACGTCAATATTTTCCACATCCAAGAAATGAACGTGCCACGTAAATGTGTCATGACAGGTACTCGGGGGAAAAACACACGCTCCACCTTTCTTTCACAATTAGCACCTCAGCAGATCATGAAATTAAGTGTTTAATTTCCTTTTTCTTAAAATTGCCCTTTTGAATGCATGTTGGGAAGTATTACGCAGTTGAATATGAAATGATTTTCACAATAGAATCAAAATTTTCCCTGTGCTGTTTCCTTTGATTTCTTTCCTCTCGTTTTTTTAACGTAAGGTTGGCCAACAATTTCCACGAATGAGTTTGCGTCTCTCAAATGGCTGTTAACAATCTCTCTAGGTTTGCTCTGAATGTCCTAGTCTAGGGGATATCAAATTAAGTTGTCAAATTTAAAGCACAGAGTAGATCGTTGTTTTTGGTCCCCTATGCGAGACCGAGCCCAGATGTTATCTCAATGGGAGTCTGAGATAGCCTCTTATATATAAACAGCTTGGCTCCACGGTGATCTAACATGCTTGGTTCAGTGAATAAATTGCAGAAACTGCTTTTGGGGCTATCAATACTTCTACAAAATGACTGTTTGGGCCCAATTTCCAAAATGAAATAGAAACCGTTTGTTCGATACGTAATCACAGAGTTTACATAATGTTGGCGTCTTGGGTAAAGAACACCACATATATCAGCCTTCGAGGGGAAGATATTAACATTTCATTGGGAACATTCTCGGCAGTTCCTCGTCAAATCCTGCCTCGTTTCATTCGGGACTCGGAGGTTCATTCTCTACTGAGGTTTTGACAAACTCCCCAACGGTCACGCGTGGGCTACAAACCTGGAGTTTCTGAGCGAATACTGGGGGGTTCTTTTCTGCTAAGTCGGGCTCCAGGTAGTCAAGTGCACCACAGAGGGAGCCGGGGCGAGCGAGCCTGCTGAGCAGGGCGTCAGCAGACGCAAAGGCACCCTCGGGAGCTGTCTGAACGCCGGCCGAGAGGAAAACACACAAGAGAAATAGAGGAGAACAGAGTGACATTGATTCCACGCCAGGGCCACGCACCCATTTGTCAGACATCTCTGCCTTCATGCTAAGAGAGTATCAATTAGCTGCCAATTCTTGCGTTTTCATCTGGACTAATCCCCACATGCTGACGATGGGCATCTTTTTTTTTTTTTGAGACAGAGTATTGCTCTGTCACCCCAGCTAGAGTGCAGTGGTGTGATCATAGCTCACAGCAACCTCAGACTCCTGGGCATAAGCGATCCTCCTGCCTCAGCCTCCCAGGTAGCTGGGACTACAGGCGTGCCCCACCACACCCGGCTACTTTTTCTATTTTTAGTAGAGATAGGGTGTTGCTCTTGTTCAGGTTGGTCTCAAACTCCTGACCTCAAGCAATCCTCCCGCCTCGGCCTCCCAGAGTGCTAGGATTGCAGGTGTGAGCCACCTCACCTGGCTGATAATGGACATCTTGAGAGTGGCAGCACCCCCCTCCCAAAAAAAGCAGGAGCCTTCGGTATCCTCCCCCCACCCCCAGGCCACCTTCATGCCCTAGTCAGTGGGTAGGAGCCACACGACCAGTGGCTTGTTTATTTGAAAATCTCAGTGGGTGGAAGGCTAGCGAGCTGAGGGGCTTTCCAAACACAACATAACTCATCCAGAAAATACCTCCACATGTAAATCTCAAAGGATGTAAGGCTTTGGTAAAGGTCATTTTCTAAATAATGGAAAGACGATTACAAACAAAAAAGTGTCTCCTGGTAGATCAGAAAGACTTCAAAATCAGAAGCCAGCTCTGTAGAAGGTGACGCCTGTGCGAGTCCTTCCTGGTGTTTGTTTGAGAGACTAACTCACATCTAGACGCTCTTTCTGTTCACTGTTGTTTTTCCAGCATCCGCCCCAGCATCCAACTGCCAGGCACATAGTAGGAGCTCAACAAATATCTGATGCACAAGATAGTGAATGTTCTGCTAATACAGAACAGCAAAAGCAACACGCTAAGTCAACAGCTTCAAACTTGCTTGGGGATTGCTAGGAGGGCGACAAAAAAATAAAATAAAATTCACCTAGAAGGCTGGTCCCTTTTAGATGCATGGAGACCTGGCAGATGCATCCTACACTTTAGGGAGATCACGGGCCACAGATGGACATGTGTAACGTGCAGGGAGGGTCGGGGTGGCTGAGGCCCCCGCAGGGCTGGGAGGGGAGGGGTGACGGTCCTGGTCTATAAACAGAGCGGCTTTCCATTACTAAGTCCCGCGAAAACCAACTGTTCCTCAAAAGAATGTGCCGTCTTTGCCCTCAAGGAGGCAGAGGACTGACGATGGCTCCGAAGCAACAGTCCAGTCCTAGGGGGCTAAGAATAAAAAATTGAAAAAACCCCAAAGGCGAGCGAAGCCCGTAGGCGAGAAGGGTAAAGTCCCCTAGTGTGAATGGAGAGCCTCCCCCTCGTCCTCCCGGTGCAGGGTCTCCTAGGCTGGCTTCTGAGGGGCCCACAGTAGGAGCTGGGTGGGTGTTGCTCTGAAGGCCTGGCCCCACTTGGCGACAGTGCCCAGGACTCATCCCCCGTGATCTGGGGCCCCTCCGACTCCACTTACAATTTCGATCGCCTCTGAGGGGTTGCCCAAGGTCATGGCCCCCAGCTCCTTCTGGGAGGGTTTCTCCGGCACCTGCAAGTGTGGCTCTTGGTTGGGGGCCAGCCCTCGTGTGACCGGATGCTGGATTTTTGCCGTAGCATTCACAAGGGCTTCAGTCTCCTCGAAGCTTGACCTGGGGGAGCAAAGAGCATCTTGAGAGTCTTCTCGTTGGAAACCCCACTGAAGCCCCCACTGAGTCAATGCAAGTGATGCTGGACTTTCAGGAGGACAAGGACCAGGTCTTCAGGGGTCCACCCACCCCTAGGGCCGCATAACAACGGAGGGGCAGAAGCACAGAGGTCACTGGCTATGGGCACGAGCTCTGCAGTTGAGCAGAGGACCAGTGCCTGGTTGTGTACTCTGGGGGAAGTGATTCAGTACCATGCCTCAGTTTCCTTTTCTATAAGATGAAATGTATGTCTCTGTGAAGATTAAATGAGATGCTGCATGTCTGCGAAGCACTTCACACAGTGCCTATCGTATGCCGCCACTGTTGCTGTAATAACATCACCATTCCATCATTTTCTGCACCGCCCTGGGCAGACTCTGCCCTGTAGGGTCTCTGTAAGTTTGAGAGTCACAGCGAGAGCTTTCACTCCCACTCGGTGAGAGGGGCAGGTACACAAGGACAGCAAGGTCCAAACCTCAGAGCAACGCCCCACATTCACCTGATGCAACATCACACCGCTCAGAGCATGAACCCTGATGAATGCAAATGTTCACACCCGTATCGATAATATACGTTTATCGGGCACTTGGTGCATGCCGGGCATGCCGACAAGAGCTTTCCACATAGCATCTCTTTGGAAGAGGTGCTGCCCCCACCACACAGTCGGGGACACGCTGGGAGACTGACAGCCTGCTTTCATCTTCACAAAATCCTGACGAGCTCTGTTTTATTGTCACTCTCACTCTGCACTCAAGTAAACTGAGGCATGGGGGGTCAAGTGACCCACATCAGGTCACAGAACCAGGAAGAGGTGCAGGTGGGATTCGGGCTCTGTGTGCTGTGCCACGCTGCCCCCCATCGGACAGAGGACAGAATAAAGTGTGCGTGTGCTGGGGGCGTACGGGGGTATCGCACCGTCTGCTGTTGAAGGATTTCACCCTAGTCCCGAGGGCAGCCAGTAACAAAGCCAACACGTTTACGTCCCTGTGGACATTCAGACACTGAAACGCGGGCTGCCTGGTCTGTGCAAGTGAAATGAAGTCAGGAGAACGGCGAGTCGGAGGCAACTCTCCGCGATGGAGTCGTACCCTGAACACGGCGTCGGGGACTCCGACACGCAGACGGGAGGAGACTTGACGGGGCTCTCCTGAGAAGTGTCAAACATAAGGTACAAGGCCTGCTTCTTCGGGGCGTCATCGTCCTGCTGCAGGGATCAAAGTCACACATCAGCTTGGGTACCGCTGGCCTGAACGTGTCCCCCGAGATGAAAACCAGAGCACTCTTCAATAGGGGACAAATAACCCATCAGGGAAAAGGTTCATTTTCCTTGAGCCATCAGGAACAGAGGAGAAGTGGGGCCAGGCTAGGAGCCAGGTGGGGAGGATGGGAGGGAAAGAGGAGACAGAGAAAGCTCGACTGGGTGCAGGAGGGAATCGGCAAGGGGACAAGGAGCTGATGCCATTGGTGCACTAGACCCATTTGATCCACCAACATTTACTGGCCGCCGTCACGGGGCCAGGAACCCACCGGCCACTGAGGACAAGCAGAGGGTAAGGCAAGATCCCAGTCCAGGGTTGTCCATAGTTGGACAAGCCCAGAGCAGGGTCTGGGTCTGGAGAGCAGCTTGGCCGGACTGGTACACAGGGATTGTGCCATCGAGGATGCCAGGCCCAGAAATGGGGACTGGCATCTGTCAGTGAAGGGAAGACCTCCACATGCCCTGCCCGGGTCCCCAAATAAGCCACTGCAACAGCCAGTGAACACGCTGCTCTGCACCACCGTGAAAATCTGAGTGTCTCTGCGCTTCCTAAGCAGGGCACACTCTTCAGGAAATTCATCCACGAGGCCTGCCAATGCACGGGTCAGGAGACGGCGCCCAACACGCAGGGGCACCCTGTGCTTTTAGTCCACTTACATCAAAGCTAGCAAAACACAGGGATGTTCCAGTGGTAAAACGTCTCACCCTCAGTGTCACGTATGTGGCCTCAACTCTTTGACCGCAGAGGTAAGCTAACACCCTTTCGGCAATGCACCGAGGGATGATGACAAAGTCCATGCGCTTTACTCCAGGAGCTCTGCCTTTACCGACTTGGCACTTAAGTTCAGTCTGTATATGGGTACATTTTCCTGCCCAACCTTCAGGTCTAACTTACAGCAACCTGTGGTTTAAAAGCAGCAACCCCAGCATCTACAAACGATGCAAAGAAAGATAAAAGCAACATGTCCGGGGCTATTTAGTGTTATGAGCAAGCCCTCCTGTGATGTCTCTGAGGGCATCGAGGGACAACAGCGGGACGTCACGCATGGAACAAAACGCCCTGGGGCAGCAGGTGTTGAGCCAGGGAAGACAGCTGCCCATTGCAGCCAATTAAAAATGGGAGGAAAGGCTTATTGCCCAAAGAGACAATATTCAGTTACTTAAACACAATTTGTCAAAAACAGCTAATAACATACCTTAAAAACACTGCCCACCCTTTTTAAAGAAACCTATCACTTTCTCCCTGAAAATGCCAAATGAAGTGGACTGAGCACAAACCTCTAGTCCCAGCCCATCATCACCGGGCACCCAGGATGCCGTGGGGACAGAGATGCTCTGCACAGGAGAGCAGCCCCTGCAGGTAGGAAAGTGAGTCCCTGACCGGCCCCAGGCAGAACTTACAGGTAAGGAGGTGCCAATTTTTTCCATATATTCGATTTCATAGGAGTTTCTGTAATCATCCAACTCTGCAAAAAACACAGAAAGCAAGATTAGTGCCTGAGAAAGAAAAGGGAAGATTTGGGCTGGGCAGGTTGAGGCCCAGAACCGGGTTCTGGGTGGCTGGGGGTGCCCACTGACCAGAGACATGCAGTATAGCCAAGAGGGCGACTCAGCTCAGCTGCTTCAGACCACTGGTAAACTCCTTGCCGTAAAGGGGATTCTGCCATTAGGGAGTCTGAGAGTCCCAGGGACATCCGACAGCACGGCCACACACAGGCCTGAGTGTGGACAGATCTGTACACTCTGCACTGAGTTTCCAGATCAGGGAGCGTGTGCACTCGGGGTGTGGGTCTTCTCTGTAGTTCTCACGCGCAGCACGTGAAATGATACATCCTGGTGACATCTGGGAACTGGACCCATACTGGTCCCTCCCCGAGAATTCAGCTACAGCCACCCTCTGAATCGAGGGAAGAATGACATCGTTCCTTCAGTATGGCTCGTAAGAGAAGCTTCTCAAGTCCCCTGAACACTTCCCAAAATTCCACAGTACCTACAGGACTAATTCAAATCAAATTTTTGAATGCAAAGACTATAAGGTCCAACTAGGTAGAGAAATGACCCAGTTCAAATTGATTTGGTGACTTTAGGCTGCAAAGAATATTCTAGGCATTCAACAGAGACTAGAAACCCCACTGTCTGGTTCAGCGACCTGGGCAGTCCCACGTGGAAACAGCTCTGACACTCAGCTGAACTCGCCGTCTAGTAAACAGACTGCATGCCTACTGTGTGCCTTGCACACAGTGGTGAATGAGACCACAATGGACGTCCGTCCTCATGGAAGCCACAGTCTAGAGCTACCAGATGCTTCTTTTCTACTTAAAAAGAAAACCAAGATATGATGAATGACGTGTTCAGAAACCAGCTGTGAAAAAGCCTTGGTGGCAATCCGTAAAGCTGACTGCCTCGATTTTTTTTTTAGATGAAAATAAGTATAAACAGCAGTTCTGGTTTAAAGCCCCTTTATTTCTGCATATTGTTGAAGCCATCACTGAGAAAAGAAATGATTCCTTAGTATCAGTTTAGAATGAGATATTTCCTGGAGGATTTTCTTAAATCCTGCACGTGTGTGTGGTCGTGGCTGAATAAACTCAAGCACTTAAACATGTGGACAACTTTTCAGGAATCTCTGAGTCTCCCTTGAGAATCAAACACATCCTTCTAGTAGGCACGACCTGCTCACAGGATTAAAGATGGTTTTGTGGATTAAAGGTCAAAAAGGCTGGGTGTGGTGGCTCACGCCTGTAATCCTAGCACTTTGGGTGGCCGAGGTGGGAGGATGGCTTGAGGCCAGGCGTTCAAGACCAGCCTGAGCAAGAGCGAGACCCCATCTCTACAAAAAATAGAAAAAATTAGCCAAGCATGGTGGCACACACCTCAGGAGGCTGAGGCAGGAGGATCACTTGAGCCCAGGAGCTCGAGGTTGCAGTGAGCTATGATGAGGCCACTGCACTCCAGCCTGGGCGACAGACTAAGACCCTGTCTCAAAAAAAAAAAAAAAAAAAGTCTGCATTCAGTTGTGCTGTCACTTGGAAAGCACAGAGACTAGCACAAACCACACCCTGCTGGGCTAGAGTGCAGAAAGTGTGTCTGCAACCGTCATGTGAGCCGTACCTTGGGGTCTGCCCCCACGTAAGACTTAATTTCCATCTCACCTTAAAAATGAGAAGTAGGAGGGAAACAGTGATGGACAAGGTGATTTAGGGATTCTCTTTCAGATCTCTCACTTGCTAGGTGTAGAACCCCAGGGCCATCATTTTGTTGTTCTATAGACTGTATAAGTGGAGAAGATAATAGTGAATCACCTGCTTCCTCCAAGGTATCATTATTCTTGCCAAGGCATTATACGACCCTAAATTATTTAACAGAAACCTCTCAGCACACTCTAGAACGGCATGGAGCTCCCAGGACAAGCAAGGGACCACCACAGAGATCTTCCAGGGCCTATGGCCCCAGGGGGTGAGTGCCCAGCTCTGATGACCAGCTCGCCTCCCTACAGCGTCCAACTGGCAACCTCACCTCTTCCTGGCAGATGAATCTGGCGAGTTTCGGGTCACCAAGCTCATTCACTTGCCTTCTTTCCTACTTACCAAGAGGGTGTGCCTTCCCACTGCCCCGTGTCCCCCATTCTTCCCTTCAGAAGCAGGACTTGATGGTGCAACAACGGGTCTTTGATCCCCAGAGAAATGTTTCCGTGTGCAGGACGCCTGGTTCTGGGAGGCCCACGCCCCTCCCACGTCAATCCCAGGTTACGGACACCTGGAGAAGCCCCTTGCGAATATGCCCTGCTCCTTCCAATCACAGCCATTTTGTGCCCTCGTTTATAATTTACAAACTGGTCTGGAAAGGATGTAAGAAAAATCAGTATCTCTTCCTGTCATCTTGGGTGATCGCCAGTATTTTGAGGAAACATCCTCTGAAATTGGTTTTCGACATCTTATTCATCTGCTTTAAATGCTAAGCCTCAAAAACGGTAGGTCTGAGGGTGATGCCACGTCCAACTTTAGCCCCATTTTCACATCATGCCACACGCAGCTGGCAGGCCTGGGTGACATCAATGTCACCAAGTGGCCCATCATCTTTGCAACTAAAGGAGACGGTCACTTGCTAAAGCATGTGGCTCCTTCAAGTTGAAGAGGCCCACAGTTATTTTTAATGGGTCCTGTCATCTGAGGGCCGCTTCAGGTAGCTATTTTTTGCTGGGACACTACACAGCGAGAGGGCTTCACTGATGCTTTCATCAGACTCTGAGTGCTAGAGGTTCGCCAGGGGCCGCAAAGAGCCCTGTGCAGAAGCCAGAGGACGCAGCCGAGTCCCGGTCTTCATTCCCAGGACCAAGGAAGCCAAACTTGCCAGAATTCTCCATGCCTACTGACTTATCAAATGGAGCTTGGGATACTGACATTCTGTAGGATAAAATTAAATACTGTAAGACAAAAGCCCTCCGATAGGTTTTACAGATAAATGTAAGGGACTGGGATCAGGCATATTATTGCTTATCGCTAATATTTCTGGAACTTTTAACATAAGTGACATTCTGTTAGGGGAGAAGCAAAGAGCCCCTTGTAAAGGGACAAGGACGCTGCTCCTAACTCCCTCACCCTCTCCCTTCTATACGTGTAGTATGACAGTGATGGTGTCCCCCTTACAGAACGAATGAGGCTCCTGAGAAGGGCACTTCCCCTCTGTCGGAGGTGGGAAAGGGGGGCTGACGTAGCTGTGGTAGGGAGACAAGACAAGTAAACTGGGTGACCACCAAAGGGCCACCCAAACCTGTGAATCTAAAAACCACGGCTCTCTCAGGGTCTCCTGGACAGAGGCAGGAGAGGTCTCAGGCTGTGTAGCCCAATGGTTCCTAATATTTTTATCCCTAGGGACCACATGGACGAGGGTTTCTCCCCTAGCACCATGTTTTAAAAGGCTGCACCAGAAAAGAACACTTTCTAAGGAACCATGCAAAGAAAACCATTTATAATTGTCAACTCTTTAGTCAGTGGGAGAATCAATTACAGCCCAAACATGGTATTTTAATCACTGGGGTATTTTTCTAAACTAGTTCCACTCAGGTTTTTTGAAACATTAAAGACAACTGGAAGCTCTTCGAAACTGCTCTTGTGGACCCAGGTGGGAAGCACGATTCATCTGACACCCGGGTTCCGCGGGTGCAGGCAGGAAGCCCACAGCTGTGAGGGCAGACCTGGCCCTCCATGCACTCCAAGCCCCACCCTGGGGGAGTCACTAACAGCTCCAGACCTCTGTTTCCTCATCCTTAAAATGGGGAATTGCAGAAATCCACCCTGGGGAGCTGAAAGGATGAAATAAAATCATGTTATTTTGTAAAAGATTTCACACAGCTCAAAGTAAGTGTTGAACCAACGACACTTCCTGCTTTCGTATTGCTACGTATAGAGTTAACATCATAATGAATATGGGTTCAAAAAGCAATTATTATTTCTAACCCCACATCCCCTTTTCCTGCGGTTGGTGACTCTGATGTAAGAAAGTCTCAGATTACAGCTGCTGCCCTGCACAGATTCACTCTGACAACCCCATGAGCACCCTGGGGTGTGTGTCTGACGGAGTTGGACTTGACCCTGTTAAATGAACGGGAAGGGTGATGGGACAAGAGAGCTCTGTGTCCGGTTTCTACATCCAGATGCTGCAGGGAGCTGGGTATTTCATGGGTGGACACGGCGGGGCTTGGCATCTGCTGTAACTGCTGCTGTTTTGTCTTCATGTGGATGGATTTTTGATTGCCCGCCAGCTAAAATCATAGTTGTCACTTCCCAGATTTTCAAAATCATTTTCCGAAGAGGCAGATTTAACAGAGTTCTGTTCCAAACTTATACCTATCTGTTGAATTCTTGCAGAACCAAACAATTGTCAACTATGTTACTGAGCTAGTGTCTGTTTTAGTACAATGTTAAAGATGAACAAACACCTGTTACCATTGCATGAGGTACATATTAGCTTAAAAAGTACTACCAGGATTTTTATATTTTCAAAGGAAAAAAAATGCATGTATTCGGTTCCTGATGATAAAACTAAATGCACACACATATCAAAATCATACGCCTTTTGATTCTTACCTACAAGGCCAACCCCAAGCTGGTTTCTAAATACTTTTCTCTGACATTTAGAAATGTCTTATCAAGCTTGTAAGATGTAACCCAGAAGAAAACCATAGTTCTTATCAAAACGGCCAAGCCCAATGCTTGTGCTCAAATGTCCCCTGCTGCTTCTGGGACATAAAACCTCTTCCCCCCCTCAGCCTCCCACACCTGGCGCAGGTGATGCCTGTTGCAAGGATCAGATTGACTGAGTTGACACTAAGCTGTCTGATCTTGTATTACCTTCATCTCACAAACCTACGATGTTCTTTAAACCCTACAATGTTCAGGCTGCTGCGGGGAACACAAAGATGAACTAGACAAAGTTCTTGCTTTCAGGAAACACACAATCTAGTAGGGAAGCAAGAAATGCACACACATCATCGATACGGAGTTAAGTGCCCCAGCGCGGCCCAGACCAAGCTCTAAAGGCAAACGGAGCCGGGAATGGGCATCCAGGGAAAGGCTGGGAGGGCACAGGACTGGGACAGGCAAGGGTGGGAGACGGTGGGGTGGGAGGCCCCCAGCAGCACCGCAGAGGCAGCTGAGCAAGGGGCGTCCCAGGGGAACAGTGATTCCATTCCGGTGAGGCTCGGGGGTCGGGTGTGGGTACAGAGGAAAATGAGGATTGGAGGGAGGCCGAGGCCAGGTCTTAGGGCTGCGAGTGTCAGGTGAGATGATCACTTTTAGGCCTCTCAAACTCCAAGCCAGAGGACCAACCTGACAGCCAACTGAAAGCCTCTATTTTGCAGAAAATAAAACGTCAAAAGGTACATGTATAGATTATTTGGATCACCTTCTCACTGTCAAACTTAGAAAGGCGGCTTTGTGTAGGCAGAATAGAATATAAGCATCCGAAATTCTGAAACACATGAGATAGACCTCACCATAAATGCACACTGGTGCCATCCCAAGACCTAACGGGCCTGACCAAGGAAAAGCCTCTGGAGAAAGAGGTACAATCAAAACCTGCCGCGCCTATAGCACACCACCACCCGCCCGGTCGGAGGGAGGCTGTTTAACAATCTCAGTCCCTTTTTAGCAGCAAAAAAGTAGAGACGAGACTTTTGTGGTGTGTGATCATCCTCGTAGCAATTTTACTTAGTTTTGGAAAATTGCTAGAAATCAAGATCTTAGAAAGGAAAAATCAAAACCATCACAAAAGCCAGAGCGTTGAAATGCTGACTCAACGCTAGACTCAGCAGCCTCACAAGGGGGTCAGTGGAGGGAAGGCGTCTCGAGGACCATCAGACTGGGAAACGGGCAATGCCTCTAAGAAAGGCTCCAGCTCTCCTATCAGCGCTCCCAACAAGAAAGGAAGTACAGGCTGGGCGCGGTGGCTCATGCCTGTAATCCCAGCACTTTAGGAGGCCGAGGCAAGGCGGGACAATCATTTGAGCCCAGGAGTTTAAGACCTGCCTGAGCAACATAGCAAGACCTCGTCTCTAAAAAATAATGAATAAATAAAATTAGCCAGGCATGGTGGCGCACACCTGCAGTCCCAGCTACTCAGGAGGCTGAGGCAGGAGGATCACTTGAGCCCAGGAGTTCGAGGATGCAGGGAGCTATGATGATGCCACTGCACTCTAGCCCAGGCAACAGAGTGAGACACCTTGTCTCAAAAAAAAAAAGGAAGTATAGAAGCCAAGATGTGGGGGTGGGGTGGGGAAATCAACCCCAATGGAACAATTTTTTTTAATTTTGATTTACCCAGCCACACTGAGCCGATGTGTAAATATTTCAAACTGAATACACACAGAAGGAAGGAAGATATTAATGAGATCAGCAAAGGATCTGGGGCCCGTTCCAAAGGAAGAGAACATGTCCTCCTTAGCAAGCCTGGGCTGAACCTCTAGTTTGGGGCTTGACTAAAACGTGTGGCCATGTTGCCCGAACATCCTGTGGGGTCTATAAATAATGCTGGCACCAAGAGACACCAGGTGGGCTGACTGACAATGAGAGCTTGACTTGGATGACACTCCCTCAGAGCTGTGCTTACCAAAATCACAGAAGAGACAAAAGCCATAAGCCAAGATTGAGCAAAGCTCAGGCGAGCGCTCAGGACCCGGAATCAGAGATTGGTGCACTGGTTCTTAGCAGGAGGCTTGGGGTAAAGCGACAGCTGGTTTCAAGTCTCAGGCTGTTTTAAAACGCAGCCTTCACTTTGGGAGCCATGCAGGAGATCTCACAGGAACGACAACATGGTCACCCGGCTGAGAAGTTTCTTTCCTAGCCTTTTGCTCCCTAGGGACAGCACTCGCCAAGGCAGGGCGGGGGTCCGGCTGGCCACTGGGCTGCTTACCCTCCGTGGGTGAATTGAATTTGGTCTCGTTGACAAAGGTGGACAGGTCTGAGGGCTGCGGGTAGTCCTGTTTGTCAGCCTCCAGGTCTACCGTCATGCATGTCCACTTCTGGCTGGTGACCGCCAGCTTTTCCTCGTCTGTCGCATGGACCACCGCGGAGATGACTGGTGGGCTTTCTGGTGTGGCGGCTGGAGTAGGGTCCTGCAAGGAAAAGGGAAGCCGTCTCTCCTCTCATGCAGACTCTCAGCCCGAAACCACATCCCACCCGCCAACTCTGGGGCCCCGTGTAGCTAGGACGGGTCCCTGTCAAAACCCTCTGCATGATCTTCTTGGACTCTGCTGCAAATGGTCCCTTCTCAAGGAAACAAATTCACTGTCCTATAACTACTCTCCATTTATAATGGTTTGTTTCAGGGAGTGACCGTGGGTTTAAAAAAAAAAAAAATCGGGATTTTGTGTCTTGGTTATTTGAAACATTTCCTGCTAGTTTTATTATGACCGTGTTATGCACATAGAGTGCTTCAGGCTCTCACCTGACAGTCCTCATGTGAGTCCACAGAAGTAGAAAAAGGGGTCTTATCTCCACTCCCACAGGAGAGCGTGGAGCTGCACAGGGCAGGGTGGGAATCCAGACATGTCACGGAAAAGCTGAGAATGGGACCTGAGTCCCCTGTTCCTGAAGCTGGGTACCTCCCCCCATCGCCCCCACCCTGGCCAGGGTCCGCCAGCCGGGGCTTTGCTGGCTTGGACTTGGAGGGGTAGGGAGGGGGTCTGCTTGTTTTATGATTCAGAAATAGACCCGAATGGTATGGCCTAGTGGCCAAGGACCACCTTCCATGGTCCACCCACAGGGTAGAAGAAATGGCATATATTTGGTGGAGGAACCAGCGAGAGGGAAGGGGGGACTCACATAACCAGCCCAAGCCCCACTTCTTTAGGGGAAGGGGGCTCCCTTTTCTTGCCACTCCCAATTTGGCTGCATAATTCAGTGCTCTTGACACAAAAAGTCAGAAGACTTTCTCAACTTGATAGTCATATGTAAGTTCACAGCAGATGAACTGGCCAGAATGGACCAGAATGATTCCTAGAGACTCCAACTAACATTTTCCCTGAGTGTCTGCCTACTCTCAGGACTCGCTCTGATCTTCCCCAAATCGAAGGGATCAATATAATGCCTTGCAAATGCCGGGGAACCCTCCATGGAGGGGGCGAGAAGTTCCTGAAAACGTGAGCAGGAGGGAAGCTCTGCTGACACGGGAGAAAAACCACAGCAGCGTGAAGTCCCCGGGTGGGCAGTGCGGTCATAGATCAAAGGAATATGTACCTGAGAAGGTGGATCAGAGAGAGGAGACCGTTTTGGCGACTTTTTCACCCTAAAGGTGTCACTGGAAACAAAATGGAAAATGTGAACACAACAACCAGAGGTACAGGACACTGCAGAGCAGCAGAGCGGACGGAAGCCGCTGCCCTGCAGAGCTGTCTGGCCCGGACCACCCTCCCGTCCACGCCACGCCAGCGAAAACATGTCCACACTGACAATCCCTTCTGACTTTTTAACAGCTATTATTTTTGCCCCCAAGGGAAAGATCCATCAAGCTGGAAATCTTTAAAGAGATGGCATTTTGGCAAGCTGACCCAGAAAATGAAGCTAAATTTAACTAAATGTTCTTATTTTATAAAGCAAATTTCGGTGAGCAGATTAATCTATCTGGACTCTTCCATGAATGTGTGAACCAACTAAGGTGGGGGGAGGGGCCCTAGGCTCATGACACCAATTAACAGGATCCGATTCACAGACGGGCAAAACTACACGGCACTTAATGACACAGCACTTAAGGAACATTGGAGGGAGTTGGAGCAGAAATAGAAAGTTCTGGGTCCTCGGGGAGAATTTGCCAAATCCCTCCTACTCACAGGATCTTTGAGTTTAACGGATTCCTGTGCTCTGAAAGCTTGTAGGGGGGTTCTGACTAAAGGCAGGGCTGGGGGTGAAATGAGATGATTTTTTATGTCTTTTCCTAACCATGGTTAACAGAGAAGTTCATGACTCTTTGCTCCCTTTCTTTCTGCTTCATATAAGTAATGGGGGGGTGGGCTGTGAGGCTAAAGAACCATCAGCTCAGACTCCTGAAGGGCCGGTAGGCAGATCCCAGGAGGAAGGGATGACTTTTAGCATAAACAGGTCCATTCAATCCATGGGACAGTAAGGGGGTCATTTCCACGGTCAAAATGGAGGTCTTCTCCGCCCTGCAGACAGGCCCCTGGCCCCCAGCCCCTTCTTGGTACCATCCCAGCCTCGGCAAAGCAAGGGCTTTGGGGGGTGGTCCCTCCCCTTACATCCCACCACCCCCCACTGCCTGCCACATTAACGGACGGGCAGAGCAATTTGGCATTCAAGTTCCTTCCTTGTGTTCTCTCAAATAAAATGCTCCAGCAATGGCAATAATAATGAAAAAGAATACTATAAATGGCTATTTACAGCATTTATGGCATTTGCCATAAAATAATGCAATCACAGCTTCAAGCATATATTTATTCATGCATATAAATATATAACTGGATATCCTGTAGTTGCTAAATGGCTTGAAAATACCAAAAAAACCGCTTGGGCAGAAGAAAGCCTAAGAGACTCTACCCTGTCCTGGGGCTGTGGATGCCTGGAACCAGGCCAGCTTCCCTTGTAAGGACAAGGAGAAGGTACATGTCTTTGGACCCCTGAGAGCCACCCACAGATCCCTCCTGGCCAGGGAAGGCAAAGCACCTGGGACCCACAGATGGCAGATGAGGCATGCTGACACCAGCCTGGTCTTGAGTGACCAAAGCCCTAGCCCAGGGCAGCCTGGCGATGGCTCTCACGGCCGTGCGCTCCACTCTGAGCCGACCCTGCATGGCAGGTGCTCTGCGGGCCCCCATTCGGAACAGCCCAAGCACATTAGCAAGAACATGCCACAGCAGTTGCTGCTTGTGGTTAGACTGGGTGGTTATTTTAATGTGAAGCCACAGTACTATTGAAAGCAATCGCCCACTAGCCCAATTTAAAATGAAAGAATGGAATGAGGAGTTAAAAAAAAAAAAATGTATGGGTTTCAGATGAAGACGTCCAGTATGCAAGGGGGGAAAGTTCCATTCCTGACAAGCAGGCAGATGTTGGATACCACGTTTTCACAGCCAAGCATTCTCACGGATGCAATCACAGAAAAATAACCTCCGCTACCGGGAGCCCCGTGCCCCACTGTTCCCAGGCCCACCATGGAAATACGTCAGTAGCAGCCATGGAGAGGAAATGAAAAGGGCTTGGAAGCAGAAACAAAAGGCAGAATGAAGCACATTTGGCATAAGAGGCAGATTCCATTAAATTTACTTACAACAGAGAACATACAGACATCACATCTTCAACCATCCTAAGACAAGAAGACAAAGAAAAAGAGAGACAGACAGAAGGAACTGACAAAAAAGATAAATCTGCACACAACTGGTTATTCGTGGGTTAGGATGCGGCAGCCATCGCTGTAGCGTCTACGTCCGAGGGCGGCAACACCCCGGCTTTTTGGAAAGGGCTATTGGGGAACAGCTTCTCTTGGTTCTGATCATCCCACAAAGCGCTGGTGCACAGAGAGCTTTGTCACCCCACTGCAGGGTCTTTCAAGCCAGCACCCCGTCTGCACTAGAGGCGAGAGCACAGACGGGTTAGCGTGCCCGACCTTTGTTGGCTCTGAGGAGCAAAGGAGACCGTGGATGGGGATAGACTACGATACAGAGAGCACGTCGTGGGGAAGGAGGAGGCAGTGGTGGCTACAAGTTGACTCTCTTTCCAGAGACGAGGGCGCATGGCGCTGCAGTCCAGGCATTTCAGAGTTCTCCTATTCCATGCTTGAAATAAAGTTTCCAACATCGATTCTATTGAGTCTCTAGGAAGGGCCTAGCTGGGTAACTGATCTAAGAAAAGTCTACATTTTTGGCCGGGAAGGCCTCCCAGCCACCACTAGGCAGCAGCAGGGTGATCCAAGGCCAAAGCCTGCTACAGAGAACTTGTCAGGAAGGCCAAGGCTCTCCTCAGATGTTCAAGGCTTAAGGGAGCCCATATGGGAGGTACCCAGGTCACCCTGCCTCCTTCACACCAGGCAGACCCAGAGGGGCCAATACTGTGGCCTGCTCGGCTGCACTGCCCCCCGAGACTGATCTCAGCCCTGCTAAATCATGGGCAATACTTCCCATAAGAAGTCTCCAAGCAGCGAACTACACGTGGCCCAGCGTCCCGAGAATGGACCTGCAGTCACCCAACTTCGAGCCAGTCTCGGCATGAACTCTGGAGGCCGGGACACACAGGACCCACGGGCAGTGCTCTTGACCTGGTTAAATGTGTGTGGACCACACACCCGACTATTAATGGCTTCCCGGGGATTGTACAGATCATTCGTGCCTTTAGGGTCCCACTTATCCCTTCTGAACTTACAGGGCCTTTGGACTCTGGTCTATAAAAGATGACTAGAGAGGGAGGGAGGCAAAGAGGGGTGCTTCCTCTGCACTGGTCGGGGTGCAGGGAGGAGCCGGGACACACTCCTCACTCATGGGCCTCCTGCAACCTCCTGCCGCGTTTGCCTCCCTGGGCTAATGTCTCACGAATGGCCAGAAACAAATACTGTAAATTGTAATCGTATTTTAAAGGACATCTCTCCTGGCTTCTCCAAAAGGCAATTCACATGCTAAACAGGGGATAGGGTCAGTCACCAACAGAGAGGTGACCAGGCCTCCAGGGGCCTGTCCCTCTCTTTGGGATCTCCCACACTCCCCTGGAGTCCCACGTCAGGTCTTAGGCTTTAAGTAGCTAGACCACTAGTTTAGGAAGACAAAAGATCAAGGACTCTTGACCCCAAGGGGGTATGTGGATGGGAAAATGCTACCACCGTGGTCTCAGAGAGGAAGGAAACCATGCATCCTGCTTGGTGACATGGCCACAAGCACAGCGTCATCACGGCAACCAGGGGCGAGGTTAGGGCAGCTGCAGGTTATCCAGGCACGTGACCTTGAGTTGCACCCTGCCTCCAATCCTTACAACCCCCACCCCTGAACTTACGTCTTCAGGGGCGTCTTCTTCTTCTTGGCGGGCTTGTTCAGCCCGTCCCCATCCACTCCATTGGTTTCCATAGCACTGGCTGGGATCTCAAAGGAAGCTGGGGATTTAGAAGGTGAGCTGGGGGTCTTAGAGGACGTCTTAAAGGGGTCAACAGACTCGTCACAGGCGTCTGGGTCAAAGTTGTATGATTGTTGGGGCAGTTTGGGAGACTCCTGCATTTTTGAGGTGGAAGAAAAAGGGTTAAAATTGGGGTCATCCCACTTGTCAATATCAAAGGTATAGGTACCTTTAGCAATAGGGATGTCATTGGGTTCAGCGGGGGACCTGGGAGGTGAGGCAGGAGTGTTGTCAAGTTTCTCGGGTGTCTTTTTCATCTTTGGCCTCCTTAGGGGCATTTTGGCAACCGGCTTTTTGCCTGTCTTTTTGGTAGAAGGGGGGTTTTCCTGCTGGTTGTCCCAACTACCCTTGTCCTCAGAATAGTCAAACTCCAGCCTCACTGACAGCCCCTTGGCTGGGGAGTCCTCCTGCCCCCCGCTATCTGACGGGGTCACCTCCACTGCCTCTGGGGCCGTGGTAACAGGCAGCGTTTTCCTTCCGACGGGTGGCGAGTTCTGCACTCTGCCTCCTCCGGAAGCCGGGGGGATGGCCCCTTCTGCACTCTCTGCGTCCAGGGGGCAGGCAGCTTTGGGCACAGCAGCAGGCTCTAGGGGTGTCTCCTCCGATAAGGCTGGGCCAGAACCTTCCGTCTTGGCTGATTCTGTTTTTGTCTCAGACGCCAGATTCTCCTCACTGGCAACAGGACTCTCCTCGGCTGGCTCCTGGGGCGTCTCTTTCACCGGGGGGGTTTCTGTGGGTTTCTTAGTGGTCTGTTTCTTTTTTAAGGAAGGCGGCCTCGGCTTTTTAGTTCGCTTAAGGGTGCTGGAAGCACTGCTGGAACCCGTGCTGTACGCATCTGGAGCGAGGGCCACGGCCTCGGGATTGCCTGAGCAAGAAGCACCATCAAAGTCACTGGCTTGCAGGCTAAGGGAGCGGGACAGCGTAGACTTGGAGATCAGGACAGAATCCGTGGACTTCCTCCGCGTGTTCGCCTTGCACTCCTGATTCTTAGCGTCGGAGGCGCGAGGTTCCAAGGTCTGAAAGTTATCCACCAGCTCGATGTTGTCAAAGTCTAAGTTGTAAGTCCCACTGCTGGCTATCGGCTTGTCTTCATCGAAGACGGCAGAGAAGGAATGGGACGGAGGACGGAAAGGACTTCCTTCCACCGAGTCACTCCGGGGGCCATCGGGAACGGAGACCGTCTCAGAACCACATCCTGAAGAGACAGAGGAAAAGCCAGCATTTAGGGACATAAGACACTTTGCAGGGTATCTCCTCTTGTGCCAGACCATCACCCTCTAGGGCAGAGGTCAACAAACTATAGTCACAGGCCACCCTGGCCCACCACTGGGCACCCTGCTTGGGTACAGATTCTGGCCCAACCCATTATTAGCTCCAGACCCCAGATGGGCTCTCCCTCAGTTCCCTCACCTGTAAAACGGGAGTGATAAGGGCTGGTTAAGGAATAGCTCAGATCATTCACTCGAAGACATTTACCAAGTGCCTAATCAAGACCAGGCACCATTCTAGGTGCTGGGGATTCAACCATGGACAAAACAGACAAAATCCTTGCCTTCCTGGAAGTCACATTCTTCAGGGAGAAGATAGTGAATAAACAAATAAACAAGTAAAACATATTACAGTCAGAGGGTGATATGTACTAAGGAGCAAAATGAAGCCAGGACAGGAGAGCTGTAATTTTAAAATAAGGCAGTCAGGCAAGGTCCTCCAAGGACCTTGAGCAAAAAATGAAATCAAGGTAAAAGGCACGAACCAGGAGGATTCCTGGGAAGGAAGCATCCCAGGCAGAAGGAATAGCAAGTGCAAAGGCCCTGGGGCAGGAGCACCCTTGGAGTGTTGCAGAAATAGCAAAGAGGGCAGTGTGGCTAAAGCAAGGAACAGGAAGACAGAGAAATACTGCAGGTAAAGCACAATAAGCCTTCGCAAGTACCAGCTGTTGTCACCGGCAAGCCTGTTCCTGAATACTCAGAGCCTTTGTAAGGAACAAAAGGGCCCCCAGGCAACTGTAGCAGAACTGAGTTTGTCTGCCACCTGCCACAGGCACCACCTGTGATCTCTCTCTCCCATCCCACCTGCCTGTCCTTGGCCTTGCCTCCTGTCTGTTCTCACTCCTCTCTGGGCTGCTGCTTTTCTACCCCATTAGCCACTGCCAGCCGAGGAGTTTGCTCCTGATTTCTCAATATGCTGCAGATGCTCCGAATGTCAGCCAAATGACACTTGGGGATCTCACGGCCCCCCAGCCACTTGGGGATCTGGCCAGCCCTGGTGTGGCTACTCTGCGTTCTGCTTGCTCCAGGTGGCATCTTTCATGCACTTCTGGGTTCACAACTGTTCCAGGCAGTCAAGGATGCCAGAAAATGATTTGCCAGAAAATTAAAAACATGCCACCGGACAAAAGAGGGCAAATGTTGGAAAGTGGTCTGTAGCGCTAAGTACTGGGAGAATGCAGAACAAGGAATAAAAGGAGTTGGCACAAATATGGCTTGGGACGGCGTTCCCAAAGCGTGCTTCGCTGACAAGTGCTATGTCCCTCCAGCCCTCCTCGCCCCGCCCCCGGAGAGTCGCCAGATAAAATACAGCATGCTCAGCTACATTTGATTTCAGATAAATATGTCTTTTAATATAAGTATATCCCATATCCCAATTATTCATGGCTTATCTAAGATTCAAATTTAATGGATATCCCATATTTTTATTTACTATATCTGGGGGTCCCATCCCTCACCCCAGCAAACAAGCTTGGGAAATGCTTCATTAAACCCCAACTGGTCTCTCACTGGATGTTTTCTCAGAGCAATTCACACCCAACTGCAAGCCTCCAGGTGGTGAGTATTTCTGTGGCACTTACCAAACTTTGCTCACAAGCAAACCTTTCTGCTGGAGCACACGGCAGAGGACCGCAGTTGGTGAAGTAGGAGATGACAACGTAAGGAAGCTTCAAGACTTTGAGTTCAGGAACTGGTCCTAGGCATCTTGGTTCCCCCTTGACTGGCCACACGTTCTCTCACAGGCTCAACAAACACCTATCGGCTTGAGAGCACCTTCCGGAAGCATGTCTGTGAGCTAGTCCTGGCTTCAGATCCTTTCTTCCCCCTCTTCTCCACCCAGGGCCACCCCAGGCCCCACCTGGAGCAGAGTCCTAAACACGAGCACCTTCCTGAAGCCTCTCAGCGCTGTTCATCCTGCCAAATGATTTCTCCCTCGTCTTCCGAACACTCCTGCTTCCATCTGGGCTCAAAAGGAAAGGTGTTGCCTCCCTTCTTTCTAAAATCAACTTCTTTCTTTCCTCCAGGACCTAGTGTCCTCAAGCACCCCATCGTCCCATCGGCAGTGACCTTGTCCTCCTTCCTGGCCTGTAGCTGCCCCTGGGCACACAGTGCAGAGGGCACAAAGGCCCAGGGGACACCTTGGAGGACCTGGTGCTTTCCAACGGGTCCTGCCAGGAGCCTCATTCCCAAATCAAGGCCCACACGTGCCAACCTCCTGTGCCTCAGCAGCCTTTAGAAGGAAGTCTTTCCAGGCCCTTCAGATGTCGGAAGTCCTCCCTGAATCATGCAGCAACAAGCAGATATTCAGCTCAACCAAAGGCTCATTTTTCCCCAGAAGAAAACGCTCCCTCTCTGCTTCACGTGGCTTTCCTATTTAGAACTGCCATGTCCTCATAAATCACCAGGGACCAAGAAACCTCACCTTTCCTAACCTCGACATTATGGATGTTTGGGGAAGGTCAGTTTTTTTTTTTTTATCATGGGAGGGGGGTGGTGGCTGCCTGTTCACTGCAGGATGCTCAGTGGCATCCTCAGCCTCTACCCACTAGATGCCAACAGCACCCCCCCCCAACTATGACCGCCAAGAATGTTTCCAGACATTGCCATGTCCCCTTGGGGGGCAACATCCCCCCTGGCTGGGAAGCACCGCCTTACTGTGTGATTACCAGGGGCTGCTGCTCCACAGGGTCAACCACGGGGGGCTGGGAAGGCTCTGGTGGTCCAGCTGGGTTCTGAGTCCCCACCCCTCACTGGATTTCTAAATGTCCACATGTCATCTCTGCATGAAGACAATTCACTCGTTCATTCCACAAATAACGTGAGTGCCAGCTATACGTCGGCCACTGTGGGGTGTGCTGTGGACACAGGTGAGCAAACCCAAGACCCCACATCAATCCATCTATGTTCACACGCCCTCTACTCGTGCAGCCCGTCAGTGCAGACCTGGGCAGTGCCCCAAGAACAATGTCTTGCATCTGGGTGCCAGGTGTCCGGCTCAGTCTGATGACAAAATCAGCATCCCCAGTTCATCATATGAAAAGGCTCACTAAGTGGGTTCCCCGTTGTCCGAGTCTGCCAGGGCTGCTGTCACCACATGCCACAGACTGGGCAGCATAACCAACAGAAATGTATTTCTCACAGCTCTGGAGGCTGGGAGTCCAAGATCGAGGTGTTGGCAGGTTTGGTCTCTCCTGAGGCCTCTCTCTCTGGTTTGCAGATGGCCTCTTCACTGTGTACATTCCTGCTGTCCCTCCCTCTTCCTATGGGGACACCAGTCCCATCGGATTAGGGCCCCACCCTTGTTACCCCATTCAACCTTCAGACCGCCTTGAAGACCCCATCCACAGACGTAGTCGCACTCGGGGTTAGGGCTTCGACACATGAATGGGGGCAGCAAAATGCAGTCCATAACCCCAGAGCTGGGCAGTGAAACCCCCAAGTCAGGGAAAAAGCAGATGTGCCAGGCATGAGGGGGAATTCCTAGCAAGGGGAGAAAGCACGAAGGCTCCCCGCGAGCAGGCCACACGCCACTTCTCTGGCCTGCTGTGCCGACTGCTGCCTCCCTGATGCGTCAGCCGGAGACAAGCAGCTCTTCCAGCAGATCCCACCTGCCGCCCGGCCGGCTGTTCCCACACCCCCTGCCAGGCCTAAGCATCAGCAGGAAGGCTCTGTCCGGGGTACACGTCACTGCTCCTCACGTAACCACTGAACACCCGCTGATCCCGGACCACTCATCGTCCTCCCCCTGTGAATGTGGTCACCACGGGCAGGTGAGGTCACTTTGCTCCTAGTGTGAACACAGCCAGCACAGGCAGGTGAGATCACCATCCTCTCATGCTTCCTCACCTGTCTACACAGCCCCTGATCTCTGCATTGTCCCTCCAGCCTGGGATAAACAGGCCTTTGGATCTGGCGGCTGTGCACCCCACGAACACCTGACTCGATGGCCAGGGCCCCCAGGTGCAGCGCAAGGCTGCATGTCAGCGTCCCCAGCAGCCTCACCTGTTCCCTGACCTGGGCATGTGTAACACCTGGTGAAGCAGGGAGCAGCCCGGCCAAGGAGGACCCAGGTGCTTGCGGCAGCCAGGCCCGGGTCTGAGAAGCCATGGCCCTCACCCGGCTGTGTGCCATGGTCTGAATGTCGTGTCCTCCCAAATTTCCACGTTGGAATCCTCACTCTCGAGGTGGGGCCTTTGGGAGGTGATTAGGTCCTGGGGCCAGAGCCTCATGAATGGGATTAGCGCCCTTATAAAAGAGACCCGAAGGAGCCTGTTTGTCCCTTCCACCACGTGAGGACACGGGTAGGAGGTGCTGTCTATGCACCGGCCAGCAGGCCCTCACTAGACGCCAAATCTGCCGGCACCTTGATCTTGGGCTTCCCAGCCTCCAGAGCTGCGAGCAATACGTTTTTGTTGTTTATAAGCCTCCCAGTCTATGGTTGTTTTGTTACAGCAGCCTGATCAGACAGTATGCAACCCCAGGCAGGTTACTCGATCCCTCTGAGCCTCAGCTGTGAAACGGGCCTTCCTGTGAGGATGAAGAGGGACAGGCACGTAAGCACCTAGCCCAGGGCACAGCAGGTGCCAGGAAAAGGCAGCCACGGCTCCCCAGCTCCTGCACGTGCCACGGGGACACCGCCCCCGTACCCCTGCCTCCGACTGGGAAGGGCCCTGGGATGCCCTGCCGCATACCAGGAGGCTTCCCACGTCTGCACCGGGCACTTTTCACATGGCCTCCCCAGAGGAGGTGAAAGCGAGCGGCAGCGTGTGTGGAGACAGGCTCCCCTCTGCGGTGGGTCCAGTGGACAGAGAAGCCACAGGTGCTCTGCAGCCAGGCTGGGCACTGAGCTCCCTCTGAGTCTGCTTGAGGGCAATGGCCAACAAGTAGCCATTTGGAGCACAGTCCTGGTGAGAGCCACCACGTGCAGGCGGAGACAGGAAAGGTGTCGGCACACAGGGCACGAGGCAGCTCCAATCACCTCCAAAGCCCCAACCTGGCCTTCCCCCTGGCTTGGCAGTCTCCCGGCAGGAGTGAGTCAACCAGCTTCACTCCCCAGTGGAGAACACGTCCCTGGAGGGTGAGTGGGCATCTGTGGGAAGGAGACCACCTCGGTCCCCCTGCCGTGCCTCCCCACTGACCACTGACTTGCTGCCGCCTGACAGCCCGATGCCCTGGCCTCTGTCTCGGGGCTGGGCTCGGGCTGCAGCTCTCAGGACAGGCTGGCACAGAGCTGCAGAGCTCCGCCTGCACACATCTGAGCATCCGCAAGCACAGTGACGGCTTTCACCCAGCCAGCACTACGACCTGCACCAGCCCACGGCACCCACGCGAAGAGCAGCCTGGTTTCCAGATGGAAAAGGAGCCAGCCTGGAGGCGGAGAGGCCTGCGTTCCGATCGCAGAGCCCCTCCCTTGCTGCGAGGCGGAGCGCAAGTCCTGCGAGCTCCGTAACCTCTGCGTCTCACAGGGAGGCAGGAGATGCTACACACCGCACAGGGAGGTTGTGCCCATGAGGGGTGACTCTCCCCACCTGAGTGGGAGGGGAAACATGCCAGGGACCTAGCACACACCTGACCCTGGGCAGACGCTCCAAGGGGAGCTATGATTGAATGATGTGACATTTAATTATGTCCTTAGGTGGCCACTTTTGAGTTCTAATAACACGGCCACTGTCCCCCAGCCAAGTGTTCCGTTCACAGGACCGTTCATGGGAGGTCAGAGCAGGAAGGATCTGAGGGCTCGCAGGTCACCCTCCTCATTTGAAGGATAAGAAAACTCGGCTCAGCTGAGCTGGGTCCACGCAAACACGCTGGTGGGACCCAACACAGGTGAGCGATAGTTTTGCAAAACGCAGGTTTCCAGGAGGAAAATCCACGTCTCCACTCACAGCCAAAGGCCTCGTCTGTTGCTTCCCGCGGCTCTTTTAGCACGGTCAGCAACACCCAGGGCTCTTCGCAGAGGAAAACTGGACAATCGAGTTTCCTCTCTTGCCCTTTCCTTCCGTGGCTCTCAGAAGGAATCTTTCTTCTCCTCCGGCCGCCTACGCCGGCCAGCACAGCTGCCCTCTCACGTTCGATGCCCCACGCTGCTCTGAAGAATGCAGGGGGGACGTTACGTCTGGGGGCGCGTTTCTAACAAGGGCGGCAAATCAAATGGATCTTTGCACAGGCCAGGCTAGGGGGCTGTAAGCAGACACAGTTCCAACCGTAAGTCGCCTTATCTCATAATCCCCACACAGCCAGTCTCCTCGTGGCTTTCCACGGAGCAAAAGCATCGAGTCCCTGTTCAAAGACTCCAACAGGAATAATCAAAGATTCCAAGGGGCTGTGACCGGTGGCAGTTAAAGACTCCAACCCCTTCCCTGGTGGGGGCTGTCGCTAATCCTCTGTAACGCTGGTTCTTTTAGAAACTGACATCCAAGAAAGATGTGGGTGTCACACGTGTTTGTTTCCAAGAATGGAGATTGTTATTCGCTTTGTACAAAAGGAGTCAGGCAGAAGGAAGGATGGGACCAGAGGGAAGAACAGAGTAGTGACCCACTCCCCAGAGCGGGCAGGATGTCGACCAGAAGTCCCAGAAGATGCACCTATGGTCACGGAATGGCCTCTGAACACTCCGTGGTGTTTGGGGATGGACATGCTGTAATACGCCATTGTTCTCTTCTAAATTGTTTTCTAAAGCATCCTACATATGTTTAGGCATGAATTTATTATACCCACGGAAAAATAATAGTTGATTCCTAATCATATTTGACCTAGAGGTTACGATGTGTTTGTCATTCAGCCACTGTCCATTAAGAACTATGGGTGAATTTTTTAAAATATTAAAACATTTTTTAAAATATTACAATATTTATTTCCTATGCTTTATCACAGGAAATAAGGGAAGGGATGCAAATGACTCTCCAAGAACCGTGAGCAGGCCTCCTGGCTCTTCTCTACCTCAAAATCAAAGAAATGCTGATCATCCTCCTCTCAGAGCCAGCGTCTACACTGACTCAGCAGAATCCAGACACGGCCGCTGGCTGAGGAGCTGTCAGAGAGGAGAGAACATGAAAACGGAACTTGTCAGACACCCGCAAAGGCATCTGCTCTCACGGAAACTGCCCTGCCCCCTCCATAGTGCAGGGGGCATGTTTGTTCAGGACGAAGCCCCAGGAGTGTGTACCCTTTCTAAAACAATGGCCTGCTCCAACCCAGTGCAGATAACAAGGATTCTACCCATTTCTTTCCAAAACCAACATCAAGGTCAAAGTGTTATTTTATTTCCCAGTTCACCTGGCTCCTGGCCATGGCGAGAGTACGAGGGAAGCCCCCAGCCTGCACGGCCCCTTCTCCTCACTCACCTGGGGCAGCCTTGACCCCATTCGTGGCTCCTTCTCGGCACAGCCTGCCCTCGGGAAGCCGGCCCAGGAGAAGGGGACGAGGTGGACCTGGGCAGGACTACACCCAGGTGTCCAGCTCATGGTCTAGAAGGGAGTTTGGCCTTGCAGACTCCTCGCCACATGGGGAGGGCTATGGCCCAAGGTGGCCAAGGTGGGGTCCTCTAAGGTGTGGGGCCCAGAGCTGTCCAGGTCTAAGGATGGGACACACCTAGACCCCTGACCAGCCTGTGGGGCCATTTCTGGCAGGCCCCACTTCCTTCTAGGCTCATATTACACTTTCATGCTAGAGGTGGTTCCACCCCACTGGTGACACCAGCAGATGCACCCAGAGAACACAGGCCACGTGGGCAGGGTGGGGGTGGGCACGAGATCTGTCCCAGCCCCCAGTAACCACCACATCTAACGGGTGCATAAAGGTGTTTCAACTCATGCTGAGGGAGACAGGCGTGGGAAAGTGATAAAGAATCAGTAACAGGAGGTTAATGAGGGACAAAGCCCCAGGCCTGCCAGGTGCCCACCCCTCCTCACCCCTTTACTACCTTCCTTCCCAAGCCTACGGGCCCTGTTCTTGGAATACAAATGCAGATTCACACGGGCTGGTGAGAACCTTACGAGAGCCGGGGCCAAAGACTAGACTCCAGCACTGTGCTGGGAACTCCCAAGACCCACCTACTGCCCACCTTGCCAAACCCAATCTCCCCAGAGGCCTCTCCTAAAACTCTGCAAAGCAAACGTAGAACAATCCACTGTATCTGCTCACCCTTCGTTTTCATGATAACCTACAAAAATCATGCAAAGCACAGCCCAGAGTCAAGAGGCTGACCCAGCCGCCTGGGGTGGGCATCCGCCTCCAGCCACGCCCCAGGAGGAGCTGCCTCAATCTTCCCGCGTGCTCAGGGCCACAGGGCTGCTCCGGGACCTCCCCAGGGAGCTCTTGCCCCTCGGTTACCTGGTTCTTCCGGGGGTGGTTGTGCGCTGACCTCGGGTTCTGGGATGACTTCAGGGGGTGGTGGGGGCGGGGCTGGTGGAGCTTTGACAGGAGTTGTTGACTCCGGGGTCTCAAATGCTTCTTCAGAGTCCGAGCTCCTAATGGAGAAAGGAGGAGAAGCACAGGTTAGACAGAGGCCGAGGGCCAGCTCCGCCGCGCAGGGTGGCCTCTGCCTCAGGGCAGTGGACCCGGGCTCGCCGCTCAACTGCACTGACTGAGGACAGATGAGAGGAACGTCAGCTTTCCCAGTCAGAATTCCCAAGGGTGAATCTTACCACCAGCTCTGACTGTGCCCAAATGATGTGTTCTTTGAACCCAGCTCTACTGGAACGCACACATCTTGTCTTAGCGGCGACCACAGGCACAGGGGACCCTTGAGGAACTCTGCCACACGTTCAGACAGAAAGGCATTCTACTTGCTCCATGCCGTGGTGCCAACCCCCCGTAGGATCCCACCCCAGCACCGTCTCCTCTGTCCTGCCCTGTCGGCGCGTCACATGACTTGTTAGTACACATCCATTCACTTTCTGATCATGCTTATTAATCTTTCCATCTACTGAGGATTACAGGTGTGAACCATTGCGCCTGGCCTGGTGGCTCAATTTAAGTCAGAAAAGATTAGGCTTCCCACAGTCACCGAGCCGGCCATGTACCCTGGGGCCAGAAGGCAGCTCTGCGTGTGCTCGAGATGCCCCGTGGTCCCCAGCCTGGGCCCAACCTTGCCTCTGAGGACGGCCAGCGAGGATGCAGCACCAGCAGCAGCAGCAGCTGGGCCGAGTCCCATCTCAGAATAGTTGAAACAGACCAAAATACCAATTTATTCATTTGCAGTCAGGAAGTTAATTATCAGAAGGGTGGATACTTAGGATTGCTGATTGCCACAAACAATCCCAGCAGGCGCATCTGGAGAAAACGGATGATCAGAGGGTGACCTGGCAGGTGAGTATGGAGTGTGGCAGAGTGCACTGGGCCACACTGGTGTCACTGAGCCATGCAGCCCAACCAACACTGTGAGACACGCTGCTGAGTGCCCATGGGGTCCATGGGCCAAAGGACTGGTGACCCCAGTGGAGGTCAGCATCTCCCAAAGACCATCTGCCAGCCGGCGGAGCATACCAGGAACCAAACCAATCCCTCCACTATCTGCTGGCAACAGGAAAGGAGCCACTTGGTGGTGCCCCTCAGAAAATCTACACCAATATTGCTTTTACAACTTGTTTGTCAGTGACTCACGTGATAAGCATCAAAGACCCTCCTTCCCCCCTACTCTGCCCACCGAGGACCTCGGCTCCTCCAACCAGCCACAAAGCCCTCCTGGGACCCAAAGAGAGAAACAGAAACATCAGAGCTGCTTTTGATGGGATCCAATGAGCCAAAGCCTGCACACGATTAAATTTCACAAGTAAATACTTAACTCATGCAACCACAACAGGGGAGATGGTGACTTTTTACAAACACACATTAATATCAAAGGGCTTAGCTTTTGTCTATGGGCAGAATTTAAGATCCACATTTGGACAACAGCTCAAGGGACCTGAAGTTCTGCAGAGTCTGTTTATCAGTATGAAAAACACAAGGAGGTTACACAACTGAGCAGCAAAGAGGAGCAAGAGTTCAGATCAGCCTGGTGGGTCCTGGGTGTAGCCCCGGGAACCCAGCTTCCTCGCCCAGGCCCCCAACGCTACATGCAGCATCAGGCAATGTTAACAAGATGCACAGAGCCAACTTGCCTCTTTCCAGAGCTTCCTTGAAGGACCAGCAGACTGGAATTCCCACTGCTGGCCACCGCTGTCCATATCCACCGGGCCCATTCCACTGGGGACCACATCTGCCAGGAGGCAAATGCCATCTCCACTGAAGAACAGCCTCTGTCCCCCAAATTCTCCTCCTGTTGTCTCTGAGATCGAAATCCCTTTTGATGTCATAAAAAAGTTAGCTGCATCATCAGCCACGGGTGCTGTGAGCTTCTGCAGTATCCGGAGGCCCTGAGGCTGCCCCACACAAGCTGAGATTCGGGGAGAGACCACCAAGTGCTCGCTGGTTCCCTGGCTTCTGCGTCCCTGGGCACCGGTGATGAGTGGCTTTGGAGCACAAAGGGCCTGCTCTTTCCCAACAGCACAAGCAAGCAGTTGGGAGAGCCGGATGCTCTTGGATTCTCCCTGCTGAATTCCAATGAGGTGTCTGCTGCTGCAGCTGCCCAGCCCATCCACCTACTCAAAGGGACCACCATTCACCACCACTCTGCGCAGGAGGCAGTGTGCAGGCCAGCCAGGGCACACCAAGCCCCTTTGTGCTCCCTTGCCTGTTTGCTGTGAACTGTTTCTGCAACAAAACACCAAGGGTGGCCAGGTGTGTGGGCCACCATGGACCACTAGAATAACATTCACTTCCGGTGCTGCCTGCCTTGTTTTCATATTTCCGCATCCTCTCCCGGGAGCAGAGAGCAAGTTAATTAGAGGAGGCGGGAGGCAGCTTTTTTAATTAGCTCTTTTTTCCCTATTCAGTTTCCCAGGGGCTGAAGCACATTTCTGAGAGCAAGGATTTCTGTAGTCCACCCACAACAAGGCTGTACGTAAAAATAAAAGCAGCATTTTGGAGTTCCAATGCATAAAAGCAATTCCCATCGGCCGCTGGATGGGTTTTTTCCTACTAGAAGAAACTAAAGTACAAGAAATTATTCTGTTAAGGCTCCACACAATTTAAAAATGAAAGGAAAGTAAATTAATTTGCCACAAATACATATCAGAAGGAAAAACGTCCCTACGATCTGCTAAAACATCTCTAAATTATAGAAAAATATATTTACCAGGATATGCATATGTTATGTTCATGGGAGAAGTAAATACGCAAATACAATTAAATATCTATGTTTCTATAGTGTATAAAGAGCTCTTCACGGCCAGACAAAATCTGGCAACTTTAATTCTCAGCATAAAAAGCACAATTATAGCTACCATTTGTTGAACATTTTGATATGTGTCAGGCATGGGACTAGGCCCATTTGTACACCTATTCCCGATCTTCAAAAATGACCTGCCTGCTGGAGAGCAGGCCCACTTTGCAGATGAGACAACTCTGCATTCCAGGGGCAAATTACTCCATATATTTAGCAAATTACGTGTGCCAGCGCTCACATCCAGAACCGCCTGCCTTTAAAACCTAGGCCCTTTTCACTACCTCTGCAGTTCTCAAACATTTTTAGCAAGCTCCGTTTATGATATGTTTGTATCATAAAGTCTGTCATGAAGAGCAATTAAGCTATTTGGGTGAACTGGACAATCTGACACCAGGGGTCAGAGATGCCAACGACAGCTCAATACCTGTTGATTTCTCTCCTGGCCGCCTGTCATTAGGAAAAGTCCTAATACACGCTGATGAGTAATTACAGACAGGTCTGTTTTTTAACAGCCTGTGCTGTGATCACGGAATATTCCCTAATAAGGCAGACAGGGCAGGAGGGCCACCTAACCACACAAACCGAATTAATCTATCAGCACCAGGCTACAAGCGGACGGCGTCCAATACCGCACGGTGCGGCGCACACAGAAAAGGAAGGCAGAGGGAAACGTGTAACCCCAAGCGTGGACAGACTGTTCCAGCCGCTGAAACCCGAACCTGCCGAGCTCCCCAACTGTGTATTCGTACAGTTCAAAAATATGTTTTCAAGTATTTTCTTGGTTTCAGAGAATTTCTACAGAGCTCTAAAGTCCCACAGAGCATAGCCTGAAAACCTCTGCTCCCCACGACACTAAGCTAAACACGTCCACAGATGACACGCTGTGTCAAAACAAAGTATGGAAGGAAACTGTCCCCAAAGCAAGAGTCAGGTAGCTGGGAAAAAAGTAGACCCTGAGGGCCTGTTTCCTTATATTTGTGATTTGGTTTAAATATTTTCACGTTTTTACTTCTATGAACTACAACAAAAAAATATAAGACCAGCATCCACACACATACATCATGTAATATACACATGCACATACATGCACATAGGTATGTGTGAATGTGTGTATAACTATAACTGAAACATGGATATTTTCTAATAAAGAAGCACTATAGATGCAGTTTCCATTATATCAGTAAACGGTTACATTTGTTCAAGTTTTACTGGAGATAATTCAAGGGCTCGGAATAATAAATTGCAGAGATCACAGAATCTTCCAACACACTCATCCCATCTTTTTAAACAGGTGAGGAAACTAAGGCCCAAAGAGCTGAAGTGACTTGCGCAGGGTCACTGGCTCATTTGCGGCAGCCACAGCTAGAAATTCCATGGTGCTGGGCCAGCCTCCATTAAGCACTGCCTCCAAATAAGAGCCTTTGTTCTAAATACGATACCCACCCTGGAAATCGAAAGCTAGCTCCACTTGATTGTTACCTGATGATCAAGAAATGGTTCCTTGTTAAGCATTGCTAAAGGGGAAGAAGATACTTCCATACTTATATTTCTTTCTAGATCAATTCCTTAGAATTACAGTTTGCAGTTCCCAACATGAAAGTGATCCAGGGACTGGACGGAGGTTCTTGGGACGACCCAACCAGAGTGAAAGGACACAGGGTAGGCAGGCTACAGACAGGGGCTTCCCCAAGACCTTCCTCTCCGAATTCCCCTCCTCCTGGCTCCCTTTGCCTTGAAGACCAAACCCAGGTAAAGGCCCCACTTTGGCCCAAAGCCCTGCATCGGGGAAGATGGGCTGGCATCGCGCAGGCCAAAGACCATCTGCCAGCCCTGAAGAGAGAGGGAGACCTTCCAGAAATGAAACTGAGCCCCTGGCGGAGGATCAGACAGTCTCATTCATCTCTGTGTCTTGCGGAAGAGTTTGATGAATTTGTGAGTGAATGGATATTTTTGAAACTGCTGTGTACTAGATTATAGTCATATTCTGCTGAATGACAACTTTAGACAGTCTTGTCAATAAAAGCTACTCCCACTCCACTCTCTCTCTCTCTCTCCCCTCCAGCCTAACACACCTTAACCAGACTGGTCATTTGTCTAGGCTTTGACTGAAAAGAGTCTTTCATTTGCCCATGCCGGATATAGAAAAGGAATTTGCTCTGTTAATATCACCACTCACTATTTACGCAAAGACAGAGTAAGATT